AACACTGTAGAAGAAAAGCCAGATACTCAATGGTTTCAAGATATAAAAGTAGAGAATAAAATTATAAAATTTAAACTTGATACAGGGAGTCAGGCAAACCTAATACCCAAGGGGATAATTGGCCAAATAAATTGTGATTTTAAAATAAAAAAGATGAAAAATCAACTAATTTCATGCACAGAAAATAAAAAAGAAATAGAAGGTACACTGAACTTAAAATGTGAAATTAATAAAAAAAAGTCCAGGACATTCAATTTTATATAACAACAAAAGATTACCAACCATTACTAGGTTTACTGGCTATATAACAGCTAAAACTATAAAAACATGTTTGTATAGTCAAAGAAGAGGACAATCTTGTAAAGGAATGGAAAAATGAATGCGAAGCCATTATAAGAAAGTTTAAAGAGGTGTTTAAAGGAACTGGATGTTTAAACATTCCAAGACCTTTATTAGAGGAGGTGAAGCAAGAACTCAAAAGTTAGAGAGTAACAATATTATTGAAAAAGTTGAGGAACCAAGTGAATGGGGACATCCAATTGTGGTAGTGTTAAAGACTGATGAGTCAATCCGGGTATATATGTGTCCAAGACCCTTAACTAAACATAAAACTAGAACGAGTACCTTTACCCACAGCAGAAAGCTCTTTGGCAGAAGTGACAGGATCAAAATTTGTTACTGTCTTGGATGCGAGTACAGCATTTCACCAAATACCACTCGACAAAGAAAGTTCAAAACTATACAAAGCAAAACCTCAACGGTTTTTAGGCATGACCAATTACTTGTCAATATTTTTACCCAATATGTCGAAACGAACAGAAGCACTAAGAAATCTTCTAAAAAAAGAAACCAAGAAAAATGCTTCATGAATTTAAAAAATATGGTATGTAATTCACCGGTTTTAGCAAACTCTGATAATATTAAAGAGACAGCAGTAAACATGCCTTGCAAAATTATCACCCTCTGGCGTAATGTTCAGCAACTTTAAATGAGACTCAGAGCAGGTATTTAGTGATAGAAAAGGAACTGTTTTGGCCATAGTAGTTTGCCTTGAACATTACCATTATTATATATATGGCAGAGAAACGACAGTCAAAACCGACCATAAGTCCTTGATAGGATTAATGAACAAGCCCATTGATGACTTATCACCACGATTGCAAAGTTTAATGCTAAGACTGCTGAGATACAAGGTGAAACGAGAATATCAACCAGGCAGGACAATGTATTTAGCAGATACTTTATCAAGACTCTAGCACAATACAAAAAAGATAATTATTGAAGAAACAGAACTATTAAGTAAATATAAAGTACAAACAATAGTTGTAGCCAGCAAAAAAAAAGTCAACTGATACAAGAAGAAACAGCTAAAGATCCGGAATTACAGAAAGTGTTACAATATATAAGAAATTAATGGCCCAGAAAAATAAGCAACATGACAAATGAAACAAAATCCTATTTTTTAGCAAGATATGAACTATTTGAAAACAATGGGTACGTGAGAAACAAAAAAAGAATTATACCAAAATCTCTTAGAAAGGAAATGATGGAAACTGTGCATGTAGGACATAGTGGTATAAACTCAAACATAAGACGAGCACAAGAACTCTTTTACTGGCCAAATTTAGGATCAAATATAAAACCGTTTGTATTTTCATTTATGGTATGTCAAAAATATAGCAGAAGCAACACTAAAAAAACCAATGCAACCAACTCCAATAGCAAATTTTCCATGGAAAAGAATATCTATGGATTTTTTAAAAGCACAGGACAAACAATATATTTTGATTGCTGATTACTTCTCTAAATTTATTGCAGCTGAGCCAGTGACTACAACAACAGCAACTATGTTAATAAGTAAGCTGAAACCAATAATATATACACACATGGAATCCCGAAATAGGCAAAAAGTGACAATGGACCTCCATTTGACTAGAGGAGTTTATAATGTTTCTAGAGAACAAGTGGTCCTAGATTTCCCAGATCAAATGGGTTTGTTGAAAGACATATCCAAACGATAAAGAATATGGTCGCCAAGTCAAAGAATGAAGACACATACAAGACCGTCATGATATATAATAACACACCAAAAGAAGATCTATCCGCACCAGCCAACATTCTGATGGGATGGAAAATTCGAACCAACCTACCAATGACAGACAAATTGTTGGAAACAAGATCGAAAAATAAAATTCAGACAAAGATAAAGTATGTCCAAGAAAAATAAAGTAAATACTAAAATAAAGAAAGAAAGAAGCCCACCAGAGGAACACATTTTAATGCAAAAAGAAAAGAATACGTACTGCAAAGATACTAAAAACATTAGAAAAACCAAACTCGAATTTAGTTTAAACAGAAGACGGAGAAATGTACAGGACAAATAAAATTCATCTGAAGAATCTAAAACAAGTTGAACAGAGCATAGAAGTGAAGAGAGAAGAGCATAAAGAAAATATGGAGCAAGAAAGTAAAGAGAAGAATGGAAAGGAACAGTTGGACAATCGAGGGTTGGTAGTGGAGATAAGAAAAAGTGGGAGAAGAACAAAACTTCCAAGTAGATTTAAAGATTTTGTTATGGGGGGGGGAGATGTGACGTAGTGGAACGCATCACACATAAATGAACACATCCTGTCAACAGTCATGTCAAGTATCACTTGTCATCGGTACTTTGTAAAAAACCGTATGTACATCTGATCAGTGTTGTTCCTGGTTGCACAATTGTACAAAAAGTTGTACAATCAGTTATGCGGTTGTACTGTTGTACGCACTTTTGAAAAAAGATAGAAATGTTGTACAATTTGAAATTGCTAAATATTTATGTAAAATCGGGTATATAAAAGGTTTTCTTCGCTCAAAAAGTCTACGATTTGTTAAATAGCATGCATTAAAATTAATAAAAAAATAAAAGTTTAAATTTGGCGCCATTCGCGACCAATCAGTACACCGTTTTACATCAAAAATATATTTTAAACTGGAAAAAAGAAGAATTTTAAGCATGGGAAAGTAGTAGGCCATAGTCTGTCAATAAAAAAGAAGAAGATTAATTAGTGGTTGTACAATCGAAAGTGAAAGTGTACAATTTTGACACTGAAAGTTGTACAATTCAAAAATCCCTAGGAACAACACTGCATCTGATCTGTATTCAATAAATAAAATACTTTGAACAGAGTTTATTTATTACTATAAACAACGATACACTTCGTACCGCATTCATGGCTTCTTTTTTAAAATACATTAGAAAAAAGTAGGGCAAAGTGCAGGTTTCAACTGCTTTAAAGCTATATATAAACATCTGTAGGTTTCTTCTCTTTTATTCGGCTGATGTGCATATACTGTTGGAATGGTATTTGAATATTTGACGGCATATAATGTGCATATTTGGGAAAACATATTAGGAGCTGTTAAAAAATGTCTATCTCTGTACCAGTATTCACATTTCAACACATAGTCAAGACTTTTTCCCGTCACAAACAATAATATACGATCTTCTGATGTGGCGCTATATTAAATTGGCTTATCAATAATGCATTATTAATATTTTTTATTATGTTTCTCTCAGTAAAAACTACTTGATTAGTAGTAGAAACGTAGTAAAGAGTACTTATACTTATTCTGAAGATTCTCTGATCAAAAATAAGACGATTAAAAAATGTTACTCGTTTCCGAAATAAAGGGCGTTAAAGTTTGAAAATTCATAAATTATGAATGTCTAAAAATTGTTTATCACTGTAAAAAAAATTATAGCCATTAATAATTTTTGAATTTTCAACTTACAACTCGGAAACGAGTAATATTTTACTCAAGCATGTTTCGTTTAATCGTCTTATTTTTATTCAGAGAATCTTTAGTTTTTCTATTTCCCATTCTTAATGGGTCACCCTGTACAAATCTAACTTTTATTTAGAGAAGAAATTTGTATTTTATTTTTGTGGGTGAATTGTCGTGAGATGAATAATTGTTGTGAGATGAATAATTGTCGTATCGATAAAATGTCGTGGCGATGATATATATGTTGGTTCTGAATTGACGGAAAACCCGATTTGATAATTGGTTTTAAGGTGATTTTAATTGGTTTTTAATAGAATATTTGCTGGTCTTCTTAAAAAAAATCATATTTAATTTTTTTATAATTTATTTTTTTTTTTATTTTTTTTTTTTGGTGTGTCATCGGCTTCAACTACCAGGGTTATTTCGCCTCGTATTCTGTGTAGGCTTCGTTACTGTTTCCTATCGCCACTTTAGTAACAGCACTGTTAATTAGAACCCAACAGTGAATGGTCGAGTGGGGAATCTTATTAAACTTTTTTTTAATGTTTGTAAAGTTGCATTCTTGATATTAGCGTCAGCAACTTATTGCCAATTTAAATAATTTAGGGCTAAGTGTAAAAAGTAATTTTAGTTTTCTCTTACTTGATTTGCTTTCTCACTTTAGTACTACCCTCTCCTACTTATAAAATGAAATAGATAGATTTTGGGTTATTTTATTATTATTCAGATTCAAAGGGAGATTTTCTACATTTTCTACTAAGCATTTTTGATAAACAGTTTTTATATTTCGATTTAAACACAGCTGAGCGAAAATTGATACTTTGCCGCTTAGGACTGAAAGTTACCTGGGCCACGCGTAGCGGAGCGCGGCAATCTGTCGAAAGCGGCAACGAACTTTTGCATACAATATTTTTTGTACGATCACAATTTTTTAATAAATAGATATAAAAACTGATGTGTCGTAAGTAGTGTACAATGTGTTGCCTACATCTACGTTAATCATGAAAAAAGCAGTTGATATTTAAATTCCATGTTAACTTGGATATTATAGCAAAACATGTAACTACTTATAAATAACTTGAAAATCATTTATTAAAAAGAAATATTATATTATGGCTGATTTAAATTAACTGCAACAAAGCTCTCACTTAATGTCAGTTCGCGGAAAACATCAACTTTGCTGTTGGATTTTGAAACGCTGTTTTTTTTTAATATAAATATTTATTTTTTAGAGAAGAATCAGAAATCTATTCAGCCCTTCAGCAAAACGAATTTCTGTCAAATATACTACAAGAAAAACGATATCAAAAATTCATCTCCTGTATGTACAAGCAAACAGTTGAAGCAGGTGAAATAATTATCAAAGAAGGCGAAATGGGATCTTTCGTGTATATATCATGTACAGGATCTTACGAAATTATTATCGGAAACGACACTGTCGTCACCTTCAATGATGTGAGGGTTTTCGGAGAGTTGGCCATTTTGTATTCAGCGCAAAGGCACGCAACTGTAAAGGCCCTCGAAAATGGATCCATTTGGGTACTAGACAACCACACTTTTAAAATTCTTATTATTAAATCGACCATGGAAGAACAGGAGGAAATGGTGTCGTTCCTTAAAAATGTTCCTAAATTAAATACTGCACCCACAGAAAATTTGTATCAAGTGGCGAATCTCTTTAAATTAGAATTTTTCAAATCCAATACGAAAATTTTCGAGCAGTGTGAATTGGGAGATAAATTTTATATTATTCGTGCAGGGACTGTTACAATGGAAAGGGATAATGAGAAAGTAAGTTATTTTTCGTATTTTTTATATACATGCAAATGCCTTTTGGAACACATTGTATAATAGAATGCGAATGCGTTAACAACAATGTGTGACGTAAATAAATTGCAATAAACAACAAATAACGGCAAGACTTGCTATGTACCCCCACCCCTAGAACACTTACCAGAAAGTACGCAAACGAGAACAATTAAAAGAATATTTAGCTCACCTCAATATCCTGTTTTCCTTTTTTTTATATTGTGTATCAGATCTGACTCCTTCTCTATGACGACTCTGCTTCCACTATCAGCTGCTTCAGGAAAAAGTTGAGTAAGGTCAGAAATACCAAGAAAATCAGACTGAACTCCAAGGTGACAACGTTTACTCTCCTAATTGAGTAAGGAAAACGAATACTTTTTAGCAAAATACATTCTTTTAGCAAAATCTCTATTATACTTTACAATGAAAGAACTGTATATGGCAGCTGTATATTATGATGACCGTGAAAGTACTTAGTATTGAACCAAAATTTCTATTTGCCCCTGGCATAAATACTCTGAAGTTCATTTACGCATTATATCAGTCGTTAAAATGCTAGGTGAGAGTTATCTAGCTTTTCAACGAACAAGCGATAAACTGTATGAATACAATAATGGAAACTTTTTGAAGTTAATTCAGTTATTGGCTGAGTTTGATCCAAAAATGGAGGAACACGTTCGCAGACTCCTCAATAAAGAATAAATCAAAGCTACATATCTAGGGAAAACTATACAAAATGAAATAATTGAATTATTGCATGACAGCATAAAGCACCACATCATTAAGCAAGTTCAAAAGGCCAAGTATTATTCCGTGATTCTTGACTGTACTCCCGATGCAAGTAAAGTAGAACAGATGACATTTGTGGTAAGTCTGAAGTTCAAGTTAATATCAACGAACATTTTTTGGGTTTTCTACCCATTGAGAGATCAACAGCTAGAGAATTATCGGAGGTTTTACTAGAAGAGCTAGAGAAAAATAGGCTTAAAGTAGAAAACATGCGCGGTCAAGGGTATGACAATGGTTCCAATATGAGAGGAGAAAAATCGGGAGTACAAACAAGAATAAAAAATATAAACCCCAGAGCATTTTATGTTCCATGCAGCAGCCATTTGCTAAATTTAGTTGAAAACGATATGACAAAATCCTCGTTTGAGGCTGCCAACTTCTTCAATATTGTTCAAAAGTTATCATTTTTTTCTTCCTCTTCTTTTCGTTGGGCAATATTACTGAAATATATTGATACTTACACCCTAAAACCATTGAGTGATACGCGATGGGAAAGTCGAGTCAACTTATAAAAAGCTCTGCGGTTTCAAATTGGTCCAATTCACGATGCATTGTACAGCATATATGAAGATTGAGAAATCGATAATATGATCAGAGACGAGGCTAGCGGATTATTAAACAATTTGAAGTAGTTGAAATTTATATGATCTGTTGTGATATGGTACAACATTTTGAGTCATATTAACCCCATCAGCAAACTTTTGCAAACTGTAAATTTTAATGTGTCACAAGATATTGATATGCTTAGCAACTGCAAACTCTTCTTTGAAAACCTGAGATCAGATGAAGCTTTTGAAAGCATTATTTTAGAAGCAACCGAGCTTGCTTCAGAGATTGACGTGGAAGCTAATTTCGAAACCACCACACCACGTCATCGTGTCAGAAGCAAAACAAGAACGTTTTTGTATGAGGGCCCAGATGAACCCGTTCAAGACCTCAAACAAAAATATATAATAATTTTTCACAATATAGATCAAGCAATAAATGCCTTGGAAACCAGATATAATTTGCTAAATACTCTCAGTAATTATTTCAGCTTTTTTTATAATATTTTTGGTATAAAAGACATGCCCAGAAATGAGCTACTGGCTCATTGCAAAGATTTGGAAGTAGTTTTAACTAATGGAAATTCAAGCGATCTTAACGCCCTGGAACTAGCCGATGAAATAAGCATTGTTTCGTCATTATTAACAAAAAAGGAAACCCCTGTTGAAGTTTATCGCTACACTTAAATTCGCACCAAACCTCAGCATAGCATTAAGAATCCTAGTAACATTGCCAGTCACTGTGGCTTCAGGGGAAAGAAGCTTTTGAAAACCAAAAATAATAAAAAATTATCTCCGAACGATGCAGACGCAAAATCGTCTCAATGGATTGTCAATGATAGCTATAGAACACCAAATTAGTTATAAATTAGACTTGAAATCACTGGTTCGTGAGTTTGCCGAAAGAAAAGTTAGAAAAAGGGCATTTTAATTACTTTGGTTAGTTAGAATTTATTTATAATATGGGAAATTAGTTTAGTTAGCATTACTACATTTTAATTTTTGTTATTTTGCCTTAAGGTAGTTCACTCGCGACAGTCGTACATAAAAATATCGCGTAATGGTGAATACCAAAAGTTCGAGATTCTCAATGCTAATAAATTTTATTTTTGTAAGAGACTGTACAAAACACATGTATACAAACACATATGGACAAGTTACAATTTTATTCAATTTCATCCGGCAAACTCGCAAATATTTAAACGATATGGTATAGAAATTTGTGACTTCCTCATACTAATTTTAAGGGTTTGTTTTGGTTCAAACAGAACCGCTGATTCCAGTTCTCAAACACAGTGGACGAATTAATTTTTCAAGAACACGTCTCGAGTTTATAACAACCTCTTAGCTGATCGAGTGTTACTTTGATACGTGAAGTGGCTACAATGTTGCCAAGTTGTTATAATTTTACGAAACTACTCGTCAACTGCTTTAAAAATATTTTTATTTTATAAATCTATAACTTTTTACTAAGATAGTCAAAAAATTCAGCGATTATCTATAAAATTTGATAACTTCTTGATTTATTTAACAATAGTTTTTAAAAAATATGGTAAGAACCGTTTTCGAGATATCTTGAAATAAATGCATTGCTTGTGTACATGATAGGCTTCAAGAGTGTTAATTATGCACATTTTGATTGTTAATATCTCGTTTCACAGATGGTCAAAAAATCTAATTTATAAACCTTATATTTAAATTTTATAGAATTCTTAAGAAAAGCCGTTTTACAAGTGAACTACCTTTAGTGCTAAATTGCTTATCTTGTTATCTGATGATTGAGTTTTTAATAAAATGTTTTTTTTTTATTTTTTTTTCAATGTTTTTTTTGACTTTCTGATATGGTGGCATGAGATTTACTTGGAAAGTGGGGGGGGGGGCAAAATTAAGGTTTTGCCAGGAACCCCAAAATGTCTAGGGCCGGTCCTACTTAAAGTAGTGTACTAGGTCCAGTACTTTACTTGTTGTATACCTAAAATATTTTTAATCTTGAGCCCAATACTATCGCAAAATTTGCTGATGATACCGCAATCCTTGCTGTTGGAAAACGCTAATAGAAAATTGCAAAAATCACTAGACCAGATTAACACCTGGACGAAAAGATGGCAAATAAAATTAAATGAAGGCAAATCTGTCCATATCAACTTCAGCAGTAAACAAAATTAATATATTTCTATTAGAATAAACGACACTCAGGTCTCTTTTGCCAATACAGCAAAATATCTGGGTGTGACAAATTACATATATTACATAGAAACGCGAAGAGCTTGGTATAAAATACAAAATATTGTATTGGTTGCAAGAAAAAAAATTAAAAATCATCCACATACAACAAACTGCTTCTTTACAGGCAGATATTGAAACCCGTATGGATGTATGGTATCCAGCTTTGGGGCTGTGCCAGTAAAAGTAACATCCAAGTTATTCAACGTTTCCAGAATAAAGTATTAAGGAACATCGTCGATGCACCCTGGTACTGCCGCAATGCTGTTCTTCATAGAGACCTTAAAGTGAAGACTGTTGAAAATACAATACAAAAATTTGCCAGTAGTCACTAACAACGACTGCTCCAACATGAAAACGTGAAAGTTATCCAACTAGAACAAATATAATAGTGCATTAATTATATAAATAAAATCACATGGTACTTAGGGAACACATAAATAAAATAATTATTTTTAATATTTTAAACTTCGATAAAAATAAAAATATATTGTTTAACTCTTTAATAAACGACTTATATAAATTTAAAATAGTTACCCAAATACGATTCTGTATTATATTCCGCCGTAAGTGAATGATTTACCACTCATCGATCTTTTTTAAAATTTTTCCGAAATTACCTTTATCTTTTTTGTTATACATTTTCCCACAGAATTCGGAGGCAACTATATCATATTTTTTTTCGTTTTAGGTTGAAGAACTTACCAAAGGTAGATATTTTGGCGAAGTGGCTCTCTTAAAGGACGAATTTAGACAATCTACCGTAACAGCCAACCCTCCAGGTGTGGAGTGTCTAACTTTAGTTCGACACGAATTTATAGAACACTTTGGAAACATAGAGGAATTTGTAAAATTAAAAAGTGGACCAAATATAGCGTCTGTAAAATTATCAGAATTTTCAAATTTAGACTTGGATGAATTTGATGTAATACAAACTTTAGGATTAGGTGCATATGGGCGGGTTCAGCTCATACAGCATTGCCGACAAAAAAGTTTAGTTTTTGCACTGAAATATATAAAAAAATCAGAGGTCAAGAAGCCGGCGCAGCAGCAACAAGTGTACAACGAGAAAATTTTGCACACGTCTTGCAATTCACCCTTTATCACAAGAATGTACAGGAGTTTCCGAACTCCGAAGTATATATATTTTCTCCTGGAAGTAGGGCTAGGTGGGGATCTTTGGAGTTTGCTGCATTCTCAAAAAGTTAAGAGATTCGACGAAGATAAAACAAAATTTTATGCAGGTAAAGATTTATTTTAAATATTCTAAATTTTTTTATTAATTATTAATTGCGTACCATATATCTACGAGCCCCATTTTATTGAATTTGGCCCAATCAGTAACATTTTTTTTAGGAGTGGAGAGATATAAAGTATATCCCCCTAGGTTGGAAATATATGGAAAACTTTTTAATTATTAAGTTTAGGAAAAAACGTTATTCTTCATAAAAAGGTCTGCATTATCTAAAACCTAGAATACAGTCATCAAATATCACATTTTTTCAGTGGCAACTTTTTTCCTAAAATTAATAATAAAAAAGTTTTCCATATGATTTCAACCTATAGGGGGACATACTGTATATTAAAAGAAATGTGACAAATTTGGGAGGCTTCTAATTATCTTAAGCTTCAATAATGAAATTCGACGTAACCAACAAGTATTTACGTAATCGTCGAAAGCAACAATAAAAAAATATCAAAAATTCATCAAAATTGAACACGAATGAACAAGAGGTTTTCATTGACAGCTCACGCTCACTCAGATAAACAAATGAAATATAGATAAATAACGGTCTGGATTTGTTTAAAGCCAATGTCTATTACTTTCTCTTTCTAGTGGATCTTTGATGTGATTCGTCTATTTTAAATAGCAGCGCCAAAATTTAGTCACAACTGTCAACAAGCACTTTTTTCCTTAGGACTCTTATGTTTTTGACATTTAGCGTTAGGGGTCTCAAATTTATGAATCCCAATTATAAATACATTATTGTTGGGGATGTTAGTGTAATATAAATATATTGTAAATGCAAGACAAGTTGTAGAAAATGAAATTAAAAAAATATTGTTGGGCAACCGAAGTTGCTAATGAGGCGAGTTTAATCCTTCAGTAAGGCTGCCACGTGAAGTAAGGATATCTATAGGTGATAGAGTTTATATGACGCATGTGTCGCGGTGAGTTTAGATAGAAGGTACGTACTGCATCTGAATCACTACATAGCGTCTCTCCCATTCCTACTGTTGTCTTGTGAATCGTGCGTTCAAATCGTTTACTTTTGAAAAAGGTATGTTTCGGTGTGTCTTTTTCTCTACAGTATATACAGTTTTCGTTTACTACTTGTTCGATCTTATACATGAATGTTCTATACGATCCATGTCCTGTCAGCCCCTGGCTTATCCAATAGTCGGTGTTTCTGTGTTGTATTCCATCCACTCGATGATGCTTGGAATAAATTATTTCGTCGACTGAGCTGTCTGCTGGTTTTCATCCCACTCTTGTTTCCAGACTCTTAGTGTTCTTTCTCTGGCCTCTGTTTTTGCTTCTTCTAATTGTCCTCCGTTCCAATAGGTGGATTGGCACTATTCCAGAAATAACTTGAACTGCTCTGAGCGATACTGTCTTGTAGACACTCGCCACCCCTAAAGCTTTTGAGCTTCTACTCATAGTGGAGCCCCTTATAGTAAGATTGAGTGGACTACCCCACTCGGCAGTATTATGTTTTTAGTTCTATGGACCTCCCAAATTGCTCATTAGCCTTGAGAGCGTGCCCACGCTTTCTTCTGCCTTCTTGACCACCCTGGAGATGTAATTCCCAAAGCTTCTTATACCATCTTATACCAAGTACTTGGCTGCCCAAGATGGCCAGGTGATTTCCTCTGCTGCTTTTTCCAGGAAGGCTATCAGAAATGTTTAAAATAATCGTATTTAGGCCGGCGAAAACCTCCATTCAATTGTAGAATTTCACCATCAAGAACAATTTTCGGTTGGAAATTACTTAATGGGACCTTTTTTCTACCAGAAGGGCTAAATGACCTTAGTTATCACCGGTTTCTATATGAGGATTAGCTTAAATTGCTAGAAAAGTACCAATTTTAATTAGAAACAGAATGTAGTTCATGCATGACGACGCGTCCGCTCACTTTAGTGTTGAATCATGAGAATATTTAAATTGTACATTTAATAACCGATGAGTAGCTCGTGATGGATCCCAGCCATGGCCCCCTAGGTCCCCAGATTTAAATAGTTTGGACTCTGGTTTACCGCACCCCAGTAAACACTCTACAAGAGCTGAAGGATCGTATAAGAGCTTCCTGCGATAGAATAATACTGAAGTTTTTGTACCATTTATTTGTTGTTTAAGTTGTCTATAAAAAGTTGTCGAAAAGTAATCTTTTTGAGAGGCTTCTTGTTGTTTCCCATTTTACACACAGATACACTCTAGATAAGTCTAAAAACAAAGTAATTTGCGCACAGTCGACGACACTTTGGTAGTTTTTCTTTATTGTAAAGGCGGACAATGTAGAAAGCAGGCCACTAATAGCCAACGGTTACTTCATTGTGAATTTTGAAGGTAATACTAACTTTGTAGTGGCTTTTGTTCTACGCAATATGTGGAAATCACTTAAGAGCGTGGTAAAAACGTGGCAAGAACTACTGCAGTTATACAATCAAGTGCCGCCACTTTAAAGATATATTTATGGTTCCCGAAACTTGAGAGAGATCATTTCTTTCGAGTTTGTAAATAGGTCCACAGGTGACTTGTTGAAATATGGAGTAGAGTGCCAAAATTACTTATTTTTCAGGATACACATGCAACGTTTTTGCCTCCACTCTTTTAACGTACCGCGTTCTGATTGAATAGATCTCTGTCAAGTTGGGGAATCATCAAATCACTCCACCAATCAGGTACGCCACCGCTCATCGGCACCGTAACCCAAAACGGTTGGCATTATAAATAAAAGTAAATATTGACGTATGACGTTTAAGACTTTAGTGCGTTCTGATTGGATATGTAACTGTCAATATTTTAATTTTTGACACATTGATCATAAACTACTCAATCATTGATGATGACATATAATAAATCATTCGAATGATTTGATTTGAATTATTTGATATAATCACATCATTCCTTATGTCTTAATCATATCATATTTTTCTAGGTTGCGTTTTGGAGGGCCTCAGCTACCTCCACTCCCTCGGAATACTCTACAGAGACCTTAAACCTGAAAATATAATAGTTCATCATACTGGATACATCAAATTAGCTGATTTTGGATTTGCAAAAAGGACAGATGCAAAAGAAAAAACCTTTACCTTTGTGGGTACAGCAGAATACGTAGCTCCAGAAATAATTATGAGTAAAGGATATGATAAGGGAGTAGATTATTGGGCGTACGGGATTTTTATTTATGAACTATTGGTAGGAAGAACACCTTTTAGAACCAACGATCCAGGACCTATGAACACTTACAAATTAATCCTCAAAGGCATCGAAAATGTTGTTTTTCCAGAATATATATCTGGAAGCGCTAAATCAATTATTAGAAAATTGTGCACGCAATCTGCTTCTGACAGATTGGGTTGTCAAAAAACTGGAATTCAGGCTATTAGAAAACACTTATGGTTCGGAAGTATGGACTGGCAAAAGTTAGTTAATCAAGAGTTGCAGCCACCCTATAAACCGGAGTTAAAAAACAATATTGACACAAGATATTTCGATACTTTTCCAGAGGATAAAAATGTGCCGCCGGATGATTATTCGAAATGGGATGAAGATTTTTGATCGAGAAGAGAAAATACATTGGGGTCATATCGGTTTTGATCTCGCTGTATCCATTCAACGTACTATACGAAAAGTGATCTGTGCAGATTAATCAAAAGTGCAATAGACGAGCGCTTCTGCTGCGAAAGGGAACTTTGTCGTCAATCTCACAAACTGACATATCTCAAAAATTCATTTTTTAAGATGACTGTAAAAACACTTTTTATAGCTCTTCCTTCTTACAAAGTGGCATAACTCAAGCTGTAACCGTTACGTAGTAATAGAAACTTCCGTGAGGGACGTACCTACTTACTCAAACGCAGAACAAAACTTTAAATTGATCTCCTGAAAAATTAGGAAAAATGAGATGAGTCACTTTGTGAGCTTGGCGTCGAGTTGTAGATTAACTTTTTCAAAAATATTGATAGAAATCAGATATTTATTTTAAATTAGAGCTTTGTTGTGAAGTTTATTTTAATATGTATACGATATAAGATGTTCAAATAAGTAATTCAAAGAGAGATAGTTTCTAGACTTGCCCAAAAACGACTTTAAGTTTTTAAAGTAACAGATTATATATTTTTATATAGGTTATAAGAAAACTGTTGACGAATAAAAAATAAAATAATTATTGAATATCCATGAGTATTCATTTATTAACTCTAAGACTCTACTTTCGCACTCTAGTTCTAGAGCTTAAGTTGTACCATTGTATAAATATATCAAATACAGAATCCCTAATATTTCATAGGAACAGTATTGATATTTCTTATATGGTAACCGATAAAAAGTTGGTTAAATTAGACAAAAGTTGCGCAATTTTGTGCTCATTAAAATTGTGCCAAGAAAACTTTGATATCTACAGGGAGATTTAAAATATCGGATAAGAAATGAATGAATTTAAAGAAATGACTTAGGCCTTACTAGGCCCATTGTACATCCTCCTCAGATGTTAGGTACCTCCTAGCTCGTGAGCCAGCCTACAAATTTAATGTACTCTTAGTTTCGTCACCAAGAGGTGCTTCTCTTATATCAGCCGGTGTTAGAGGATATGCTGGATGGTCTCATTTTCTTGTTTGCACCTCCTGCGAAAATTGTGAAAGCTTGATATCATCACTTTTTGCCAGTCCAAATAATCTTGCTCTAAAGTCATTTTTATTAAAAGCTATAATTGTTAAACTCTCAGGGAGAGCCCAAAGATTATTTGGTTCCCGAACAGAGCTCAAAACATGGGTTGATGTAAAAAACTCATTAAACCTAAGTTTTGGATATCATCGTAACATAGATTGCTTGGTTCAAGATATAATAAATTTGCGTCCTTTAAAAAATGAGAGTCCCTATAATTTGGCATGAGATGTCAAGATTCCAGAAGTCTTATTATTTCAAAATTATATTCTCTAAATTTACACGATAATGAACGCGCAATCATACTTTGAAATTATGATGATTTGAACTAAACATATATATTCGAGGACTCCCATTACCTGTTCAAACAAACGTAAGAGTACCTGATAGTTTATAAAAAGCTATGAGTTTAGTTATAGAAGAAGAAAATTTTTTATATTCCACTCAAAAATCAAATAATATAAATTTAAATTCATGATTTAAACTTAATTTAAGAATCACACCTGCCATAAATCCAAATTATAGAGCCCATTCAAATTTAACCCAAATTTTAGTAAATTAAATTCTCATCAACCACTTCCACAATTGCCTCGTCCTGCATTTCAACCAAATTTTATGCCAAGAGCACCTGTTCTAAATCCTTCTCAATTTAGACCAAATTTTCCAGTAAATAATTCTTACAATTGGAGACCAAATAACAATTTTCCTACCCAACTTCATCCATTTTCCAAAATCAAAACAATAATCAAATGAAGCCACGTACTTTTAATCAACCACAAATTAATAATCAAAATTATTCTCAAAATTTCAAGCCTAAACCTATGGAACATCTTCAGGTAATACTATCCAAAACAACAATTTATTACTACAGAATTTTTTAATCAAAATAATAACTGCCCTTATCAAAATCAACAATTTGAAAATTAATACAACTCTCAACAATTTGAAAATCCATATGAGTATCAACAATTTGAACAATATGAAAATCTACATTACTATCACAATTATCAAAATTTATACCATACACAAATAGACAATGACATTGACTCTTATTCTTATTCTCCTGCAATGGGCCCGTTCACTTTCATTTTTGAATGTGAATTAAATATTTATAAAGATATTAAACTCTTTTGTCTGGTGGTACTTTTCCCGTTAAGATATTTTTGCTAGAAGTAAGGGAATTCCCATAAAATTCTTTCAGTGACTCATTGCGTCAGAAAATCCCTAATTCCGTTCACGTCTCGTATCGGTTATGCTTAAAGACGGCGGGGTTGTCGGAAGTATCCCTAATATAGCATTTCTGCATTTATATATGTAATTTAAATAGTAAAATTCCATTATTTTTCTAAAAATCATGAACTTATATTTTCAGATTTAAAGCTGGGAGCTTATTTTTTACTTTTTAATTAAAACAATTATTGTTACTCAGACTGAAAATTAACCAGACCATAATCAAAAAGTAGAAATTTGATTTGCAATATTTATTTGGTAAACGTGGCAACGTTGCATTTATTTCTAGAAGTGTGTGTAGACAACACTATTTAGAAGTACTTACAACGTTGTCACGTTTACCAGATACATTTTCTCAAATAAAATTTCGATCTGGTAATATTCCGCTTGAGTAATACTAATTGTTTTTATTAAAATTTAAAAAAGGTAGGGCTTCCAGCTTTATCTGAAAATATAAACACATTATTTTTAAATAATAATATATTTTTATCATGTAAATTTCTTTAATAAATGCAGAAGAGGAATGATGGTGCAATGATACATCCGACAACCGCGCCCTTTTAACTATTAACCGATACGAGACCTGAAGGGAATTAGGGATTTTCTGACGCAATGAGTCACTGAAAGAATTTTATGGGAATTCCCTTACTTCTAGCAAAAATATCTTAACGGAAAAAGTACCACCAGACAAAAGAGTTTAATATCTTTATAAATATATAATTATTTCACATTCAAAAATGAAAGTGAACGGGCCCATTCAATACTCCTATGATAATAATTTCTCGACACTTGTAAATGATAACACTACATATTCTCATAATAATGACTTATGTACAGATCCCACACTTTCAGCTGATGCAAGTAACCCGAGTCAGGATTCTGACAGCCCCATGATATGGAGATGCTTCCATACTTGGCAATGACCAGTCAGAATGCCTGTGGTCAGGCGAAGATTCTGTCTAGTCATAGTCAAGTATTTGCTTGATCTATTGTTGTCAGGATAATTTAAAGCTCCCTGACAACTCTACAGTTTCTTGTTTCATCCCATCTTTCCTTAAATTTCACTAGAGAATGTTCTATAGTTATTTATTTTTTTAACAGGATAAGGTTAGCAATACAAAAAATTTAGCAAATGTACAAAAAAAACACAAAATTGATATAAGAAATAAAAATGGCAATCAGTTGCACCTAAACACTCATTGAAGATAGTGAATTTTTAGAAACGACTGTACCGTTAAATACATAACTAATCACGAAAAAGAAAAACAAAAAACAATTGGTAAAATACTATCGTTAATAATTAATTATGGACACATTACTTAATTAATTTACTATTTTGTATAAAAATATAACGGAGTGCATAAATCTATGACGGACTAAGCTGCAAGTTTTGAAACGGATAAAAAACTGTTCCTGAGGGAAGCTTCTTGATGGATAATTACTGTCAAATATGTAACTTTGCCGATTTAAAAAATTTTCGTTGGACTCGCTCGAGAGTGGACATATGAACACTATAATTCGGGCTCCAGATAACACAGGCATATTCCATCTGAGATCTGATAAACACTGAAAACAGAAGGTTAAGTATTTCGATCCTATGAAATTGTTTACATTTGCGAATTATAAAACCTAATGAACGGTACGCAAAGGTAACTGTTTTTTCTATATGCAACACAAATAATAATTTTGGATCAAAATATATGCCTAGATCCTTAATAAAATCAGGTCTTTCAAGAACAACGTTATCTGTTGAATAATTAAATATTATTCATGTCTCTTCACGACAAAATAACATTACATTACACTTAGTTGGGTTAAGTGGGAGATTATTATTTTTGCACTACGTTGATAAATATAGCAGATTTTTCTAGAGATTCATTGTATTTATTTTACAGAATAGCTTCATGTTATCTGCGTATAGTAGATATTTGGCATTCAAATTTTTATGTATGTTCAGCGATAATTTTTTACCACGTTGTCCGAATTCTATGATTCTCTTTTGTTAAAAGGGGTGGCCTTATATAAATTCCATCAAGATCTATTAATGACGTCCATAAGAAAAACATTAAAAATCTTTATTTTTTAGGTTTGTTAAGCGATAATAATTAGTACGTTGTGCGATTTTTGATTCTTTTTTGGTAGGGGTGGTCCCATATATATTTAGTCAAGATCTGATGATGGGATCTATGATAAAATCAGCACACTCAATTTGTAATGGCAACTGCACGATTTTAAAATTACTTTTATAACTTGTTCGTTTACCTATTAGGCATTCAAAACAAATGAATTACCAGTGGGCAGGTTTGGTATATCTAAGGGTGGCGACATATGGTGTATTCTATCTACTTTACGTAAAATCATGAATAATGGATTACATTTAAATATTTTATGTCAAATACAATAAAAATAATATTTAAAAAACCCACCTATACATTTCTTCATAAATTGGCAGGCTTGGCGAGTACTACTTCGAATAAAAATAGCGTCCAAGTTGCAAGACTATGTCGCTACCCCCTTAAATATACAAGAATTTCCCACTGGCACCTATTGTTTGACAGGTCGTTGGAATGCCTAATACTCGTTCATGTCAACGATTTCCGCCATCTTCGATCACTTAATCGAGTCGCAAACCACTTTTGATAAGTGGCGCCATTGCAGCGACTTTTGGTACTAGTGAGCCAGAACTCTCATAATTCTATTTTTCCGTGTTTTAGCGATCGAGCGAGCTACTTGATAGGAATAGGATTTTACTAAATGAATGGTATAGTAAAAATAAATTGAAAAACCTTTCATACTTTATTATTCTATTTATTTAAAATGTATAACGGAAAAATAATAAATATATAATGTTCCAATTTACAAAATAGTCTTAAATTGATGAGTCTAGAAAACCAAATACATCTTTGAAAAGCTCATAAATTATTCACTTATGGTTGTCATTAGATTATTGAAATGCAATATACAGGGTGTAATTGAAAGACACGTACATATTAAAAGTCGCAACAGTGTATGATGCATAAAAACAAATGGTACAAATTTTAGCTCTAGATTCTAAAATTTAAAAATGGTTTATAATAGGCCAGTAAGCATATGAATAATTTAACATTATTTCTAACATTTTTTATACTTTGTGGTAATATGAAGTACCGATTGAATCCGATTTTGCAAATCGATACATGGTCGACAACATTGTTCAAAGTGACAAAAAATTAAAGTAATGGATTGCCGGATGGTGAAAAATATAGCTGCACATTTGATATCATTTTCATTTCAATATTTAAGATTAAAGCTGAATTTGCAGCCACTTATGACTCTGGTAAAGTAATTAATTGCCATTATTTAACATTATTTGATCTCATTTAGTAAATATTAACTTGCTTGCAAAATCACAGTATACTCGCTAATATCGCCTTAAATGCTTGTGAAAATTTGTAATTATTTCCCCATCTGATATATTTTTTTATAATTTACAAGGATTTCCCTTTTTTTATTTATTTAAAAATGGTTCGGCAAAATTGTAACCTGTGCAAATATTGATTGCCAATGACCGTATTCATAAGTTAGGATGCTATTCATTCTGCAACAGCCCACGATGTCAACAAAGACGAAACTAGCATTAATAAATATTTTGGAAATTTTTATTATTGCTAGTTTCGTCTATTTGCCGACGTAATTGGCTGTTGCAAAAAGAATAACATGCCTAATTAACGAATGCTGTGATTTTCAGTTAATGTTTGCACATGTTACAATTTTTACGAATCATTAAAAAGAAAATCCTTGTAAATTATAAAAAATAAACCATGCCATCATCGGAAAGAATGGCAAGTTTTCACAGGCATTTAGGACGATAATAACGAGTATACTGTCATTTTACAAGCAAGTTAATAATTTGGTTACTAAATGAGATCAAATAATGTTACTTAACAGCAATTAATAACTTTGACTACCTATACATTACATTAATTTGAAATCGGCTTAAATTTTTGTTGAACATATTTAAGCAAACTATGCAATTAAAAAATTTGAAAGTTATAAAAAAAAATAGAATGATTGACACTATAATATAAAACATTTTAATTTGTATTTAAAAGTTGCAGAATTCAAATATCTATAAGATAATAATGTAAAATGAAAAAATTGTATCCAGCGCTTGCAGCAAACCGATCGTAAATTAAGCAATGGAAAGACGATTGTCTCAATTCTTTTTTTTTTTTCAGCGATGAGTTCACCAATAGGAGGAGATAGTTAACCAATTTGTTTGAACGTGTGAACACTATTGTTTAGATAAAAGTTAACCTACAATATAAGAGTTTAAATATAAAACGGCTACCTACATTGCGTTCGGTCTGCCAAGTTCCTTTAACTCCTTTGCCACTTTTTACTCAAAACGACCCTTTTAGCGTTCGGTTTAGTCCGATTAGTGACAGTTTAGCACGCTTAAGTGTCATTTAAAAGCAGCCTAATAAACTCCCCTTTGGCCCGCTCCAGCCCTGACTATCCGAACTCGCCTCTAATAGATAAATTACCGTTAATTTAAATTAAAACGGGTTTGCTTTTTAAAACGATGTCAAACGTCATTTGAGAAATGTGGTTCGTTCTTACTTTCAGCGCAAATACTTTCCACCAGAAAACAATCAGTGAAGTCATGACAACAATCACAGATGGAACCATTGTTAAATAAAAGAACTCATCTTTTTGCTGGAATTTTTTTTATTATTTTAATGGCTTCATTTGTGGCACAATATGACTATCCTAGGTTTCCACTCCGATTAATTGAAATAATCTATTAATCGATTAATTGCAAATAATCGATTAATCACAATAATAGATTAATCGCAATAATAGATTAATCGAAAATAATCGATTGATCGATTATTTCGATTAATAGAAAAACGATTAATCAATTATCGATTTTTCAAAAAAAATAAATAATCGATTTTATACACCCCTACCTGTAATAGAGAGATATAATAGAAGTTGTGTTCGCGGTAACAATTCAGAATTCGAAAATAATCGATGTGTTCCAATATCTGAGTTCCGAGTTGAGTACCAATCCCGGCAGGTTCTCAAATACTAGTTGTCGACAGATTGCCAACAATAAGTCGTGAACTGGTTTATGTGTGGTTCCAAGATCGTTGTTGGAACAAAATTAAGGATTACTTCATGTAAAAAGCGATACCTTTAATAAATTTAGGAAGTGATCGATGACCAGATCATTAAAATTTGGAATAGATCGAATAAGTTTTTTTTTTTTCTATGGATAACATGGCTAACGAGCACAATCTATCTTGGCACATATTGTTCCTTAAAAATGTTTTAATACGTTTTAGTGTCGAAAAACATCTTTCACTCTCCACTGTGGTCATGGAAATTGTACACAGGATAGTTAGCAGCTCCACAGATTCCAAAAATGTAATTGTCAAATTGTTCTCAAAAAACATTTGTAATAACGGTACGGCCCCATTGTGTTGCACAAAGTCATCTCGGATGTAAAGTATGGACAGTTCGTTTTTGAATTTTAAGCTGTTTACGTTTGGAAATAAACTACACACAGTTTTAACGTCCTCATTTGGAAAACAACCTCGGTAGTCTTTGAATTTTTCACTATCAAATGAACTTGTAATTGTTAGGTGGGTAGTAAAACTAAAACGTTCATTTACCTGCACTACTATTGTATCACAAATTTCCTTACATATCCTTAAATTAGGAATAGGGTCCTCCTTTTCAACAAACCGTCTCTTCTTGCTTGTACTTGGACCTGATTGGGTGTTGTCGCTTAAGTTTAGTTCTTGTGGGTCTTGTTGTGATTGCCATTTAATCAAAAAATTGTTACATATCCACTCTTGCTAAATTTGCGTAATTTCTCAGAACGCAATTTACTTAACAATTCTAACTTGTTAACGCATTTTAAAGCATACGACACTGAAGAAAAGGTGTTTGGCAATTTAAAATCTCCCATCGAATAATTTCTCTTTTATATTTTCAAATTAGAAAAAATATTTATATTTGATAGTTTGTCAACTAAGCCTGGAATTTCCAACGCATACCTTTTTGAGATGAGCAAAATAGAATTCGGTTATCCTTGCCAACAATTTGCGAAAATGTACACCATTAAATTATTTACAAGACTCAGAATTTTTTATACTCTTAAATATGCATGGAGAAAAAGTCAGACAAAACCAAAAGAAAAATTAAAATTTTGTCCCATTTATAAATATTATTGATTTTTTTCATATTATTGACTGCTTTATAAAAAAAAAGTTATTTTTCTTTGTAGTTTTATTTCTTAACTATCCCAATGGTCCAACTAACGTTTTTTCGTAACCACAATAAATAAGTTATTATCATGGTCCAACAAACGAGCACCTTAAACCGAAACCGGCATCGCCTTTGTGAGAGAGTCGGTAAAGATGCCGCTGCGTACATTCGTATCTGGTCTAGGTAATCTGTGTCATGGGTACAGCACAATGAGGACAGCGCCCCGCTTGTGACGTATAATCCATCGCATGTGTTCATCTCTTGCTAAGCGATATTGTCGTTGTCCTTGTTTCTCGCATCATAATGAGAGAGAAAACAACAGAGGCACACATTTACTGTGCCCTGTGCCCATCTTCCACTTAATTTCGGAATTCTCGGAACGTCGCTCAACGCCCGGTCGTCCAGTGTCGTGCCAACGCAGTTTGCGCTGAATATTAGATAAAATAATAATAGGCATTGAGGAAAATATAATATATGTAAGTTATTTTTTTTTTGTTTTATTATACTAGGGCACTGTTTACGATACGTAACTGTAAAACCACTAAAAAACCTCATTTGGGGTAATTTTTACCCCTTGCCACTTAGATATAACTCCGTCGAAAGAGGGAAAACTTAGAATAGTCATATTGGGTAACAAATGAAACCATTAAAACAGTAAAATATTTTGTAGCAATTATTTCCGATTTGGACTTTACAATAACCGACCTATTAGTTTTTAACTAGTATTCTAATTATTGTTAAAGGAAAATAAACCATACCGATTTTTTAACTTTATTTTTTTTTTAACATTTTTAAATACTTATTATATTTGGTTTACCCAGTATCATCTACCTAAAATATAAGAAAAACTTCACAGTGTCTAGGTACACGCTAACTTGTACGCAATTCAAAAAGTTATATACACGCGAAACGTCTTGTCAGGCGGAGCCGCCACCCTACGAGAAGTCGTTGCTTCGTTTTCTTGTTGTCACGGCATTATTATTATTATTTGTTCATGTATGTGAAATTTGTTTCTAAGGTTTATAAAATGCTACTGCTAGTCACGGCGTAAATGAAAACAAACAAGACGCATTCACACAAACACCTCCCACCACAGCAATATGACGTTCCGCGTGTATATAATTTTTTGATTTGTGTACACTTTAGCGTGTACCTAGCAACAGCGGAAAAACTTACAATAATTATAAATCAAGTTTAGAAACCGTATAATTACATTATCTGAGATGCTTTACTAGTCGTCGTTAGATTACCACTTAATAACTGTTGTGCCGATTGGGCAGCTATGTGCGGATCAAAAATGATTGGCTGATTTTGAAAACCTGATAATGGTGGTGGAGGCAACGTTTTTGTACTAGGAGAGCTAAAGACTTGCGTTGCTCCAGATTGATCCTGAATTGGATATGAATACGTAGGACTTGTAGGAGGAATATGTGAGGGATAATCTGCAGGATTATACATTAAAGGATTTACCACAGCTGGTAGTGAATGAAGAGAAACTTGAGGAGGCGAAGTTACATTTTGGTCCACATATTTACTCATATCGAATGCAGGCATTTCAGCACCTACAGGTTGAGCCTGAAAACTCAGATTATTAAAATTGGGAATCGTTGAGGGTGCCGGTACATTTGAAGTATAAATTGGAACTGTCTCTTTTGTATTACTATTAACTGTACTAGTACTAAGTTGGGAATCTGGCACAGCTGAAGTTACTACAACTGATTGTTGAACATTCTGTGAAGTTAAAACATCAGTATTTTGGTTTGTATTCGGTGATATAGTTGGGGTTTGATTGAATATAGTGGTAGTTGGAGGAATGTGGACAATGTTTCCTCTGACAGGTATTCTATGCAAATACCCATATCCTATACCGCATCCAACCATCCCTTCTCCACCCCAACGTGAGTTAGGAGTAATAGTCACTTCTCTACAACTATCTTCATCTGAATTATAGACGTATAATTTTAAACTACAACCATCGTGGCCTTCTATTAAGTTATACAGATCTTCACTTTCATGTAAAATTGAATCGGAACCGATTATGTAATCTGAGAACGGTTTTAAACCAGCTAAATGTGCCGGTGAATTTGGATGTACTTCTAGAATATGCCAAACGTTTTCCTTTGCAACTTCGAATGAACAAAATTTTATGCTTACTCCTAGGAGCCCTTGGCCACCCCACGTGTCGCTCGGTTCGATGGTGATGCTTCTTACGCTCTGTGATTTACAACTATATACAGTTAAAGGAAGTTGTTTTCCTAAAAATACATATCAAAATAAAAAATATATACTTATTTACTATAATAGTATATTCTGTAACAAAGTTGGAATGAAAATTCGATACAAGTAGCAGATTCTGAACACGATCGTAAACGAACGAGTATCAGATTTGTATTCCAACAGAGTAACAGACTGTACTTTCTCCACGGCCACAGACACAGTAGGAATTGAATATAGTAAAATGAAACTTTGAACAAAATAAACTATTTAAGCTTAGGTATATTAGGCAAGTTTTTATTTAAATTATTTGCATAATTTGTCAGTTCAGGAGAAATATCAAATTTCATATAAAAATCATTATATTCGCCAATTTTTGAATTTAAGTTGGACTTAACAAATGCCGCTTAACTTTATTCAGGAAAATTTAAACTCAATACTAATACGTCGAGTAGAACTGCCAGTCATGAAATTCATGACTATCTACGGTGCAGGCGTGATATTTACAGTCACTGGCCAGTAACTATTACATAATGAACATTCTGTATTTAGAGTTAAAATGAAATACGTGTTTCAGAATTTTCTTTCAATCTCACGAGCGAGAATGTTTTCTTTCTATTATTATAAGTGATTTCGGAAGAACTACATTCAGTAGTGGCCGTAGAGAAACAGGAATTTAATGATTATCAAAAAAATTGTCTATTAGTGAAAACGTTACATGTTGAGGTAGGTCATAGCAGTGAATGCCAACACAAGAACAATACTTGCAACTGTCATTAATGTCCATATGAATAACAGTGGTCATCGACGTTATTAAAGCATAATTCTGAAAATGAGAACAATTTAATTATTTAGCATATCGACGGCAAGGTAATAATTTTTATATATTTCTCTATCGATTTCATTTTTTTTTTTTTTTTTTTTTCAGAAAAATATTTGTCTGTTTTGAAGAATTTTAACCCAGCTTACTTAAATTAATCGACTCATTCAAAGCATATAAACGGTAAGTTGATGACCTTTACATGTAATTCTATCGATTTCATAATCTTTTTTTTCGGAAAATTCTATTTCAGCGAATTGAGAAACTTAACCGTATTCCTGATTTTGAAAGTAAAAGTAATTTAATATTCACAAGATGAATCAATGCTTGCTCCATCCAGAAAAAAATCAGGTGAGACATATTATATCGAGGGCCACAAGACAGGACCTCGTAAGCCGCAAAATCGACATTTTTTGGATTAAAAAACGTTTTACGTACCTATAGAACAATTCATTTTACTCTATAATATGACTATTTACCCATGTTTTGTTCAAAAATTGTAATACTTCCCCTATACAGTAGATGGGGTGAAATATGTTAAAGAGATTATCATAAAATTTTCAGTGGAAATGTTAGTTAGGAGGTCCTGCATTGTGGCCGTCGATATAATAAAAGTTCTCAGAGTTATTATATTACTAGGAAGTAGAATGTGAACTTTATTCATGTGCCTATGAATGAATGAATGAATGAATGAATGAATGAATGAATGAATGAATACTTTTATTTAGCCATCGCTAGTAGATACAATATTTGTTATTTACATATTTTTGTTATTTTACATAGTTATATACACAATTTTAAATTTGATTCTTTCAAACATTTACACTTGGTTTTATTTTTATTTAATTTTAATTTAATGATACACAACCAGTCATGCAGAATACCTACTTCACTGTTTAAGGTGCCAACAGCTTCCTCAAAATCACTAGCCGCGACAGATGTGACAGTGTCATCTGCGAAGAAACTCACAAAAGATTTTTGTAACACATCCTTTATGTCGGACACTGCCTTGTGGTGCACCAAAATTACACTCCGTTGCATTGGACACAATATTGCGTATTTTTGTTTGGTGGTAACGGGTAGTTGTGGATTAATTTGATGGCTTCTAATTTCATACCAAATTTCTGTAGTTTATAGAGTAGCAGTTTTCGATCAACTGTTAATTGATCTCTTAAAAGAATTTCAATAAATTTATCTTCAGTTGGTAGTAAATTAATTGGCCTAAATTGTTCTGGTAGGGTTGGCGACGGAACTTTAGCTATTAGCACTATTACACTAATTTTAAGATCTGAAGGGATTCGTCCACTAGTTGTTACCACTGTATTTACAATATTTAGCAGGGGATATCTAACGACGTAAAATAGGGCTTTAAGAAGTTTTGAACTTGAAAAATCGTCACTCAAACTTTTATTCTTTAGGCTGCTTACTATTTTTTGTAATTGGCTGAAAGTGATTACTTGAAATGTTAATTGTTCTATTTTTACCTCAAGTTCATTTCCATTTTCAAGTAAGCCTTTATCTTCTATACTCAGCTAGGTACGGATGCTATTACTATAATAATTATTAGTTTTCTTCGAAATTGATTCGATCTTTTGTCAAAATAACTGTTTAATTGCTTGGCTACATTTTTTTGCTATCTCCTTTAGATTTGTCAATTTTGTCTTCATAGAATATTTTCTTTTCTCGACGTAATACACTGACTGCCTGGTTTCTCTTATTTTTATAATCATTCCAATCCTCCTAAGTATTCGCAAACTTGAAACTGTTGCGTAATTTTTGAGCCTCTACATGTCTATTGATCCATGGTGTCTGGTAGCATTTAATTTTATTAATGGGACAAATTTTAACAAGAGAGTCTCGAACATTATCTAAAAAATTGTTATATAACACCTCGACATCCGTTGAAGTTGTTTCCCAATGCTTTCCTATCAAGTACAATATAATTTTTTGTACATTTTCCTCATTAATATTTCTTCTCCAGATAAATGTGTCCACAGATCTATGATTTAAGCCAGTTACATTTATTCCTATTATATCGTGGTCTGATATTTTAGAGAAGTTTCTAGGGAGTTCAGTCAAGGTAAAATTATTAGTTATAATGTAGTCGACTAGAGTAGCCGATGTTGGTGTAATGCATGTTGGTTTTTCAAAAATTTGTTTAAATCCGGAGTCAATTACAATATTTTTTATTTTATTAGATGAACTTATATTCGATTTAAAATCTATGTTTAAGTCTCCTAGAATAATAATTTCATCATCCTTGATAAAATCATTTTTAAGAAGAGCATCAAAATAATTAAGAAAATCATTAACATTTCCGTTAGGCGAACGATATACTGCTCCAACAACCAACACCCTTCCATTTATTGTAATTTTTAAAATTAATGCCCAGTAATTTAGAGTAATTGCAACTCTATGTAAAATAGAGAAGTTTACATTTTCTTTTAAGTAAATTATGCACCCCCCTGTGTGACGACTATTTGATTCAACTACAATGTGGTTATATTTTAATATTTTATACTCATTTTCATCTATGTCTTCGGTGATATGTGTCTCTGTAACATTTGCTAGTAAGGGCCTCTCAGTAAAAAGAAGTGTACGTAGCTCATCAATATGTGATGTTAATCCTTGGATATTAAGACAAATTGTTTTTTGGGTCACTGTATAAGTTTTTGATGGCTACTGAGTTTTTGCTAGTGATAGAACGATATCACTTTTTTTGCAGATACGATATATCGGCCGATACCGATATTTACGTGCCGATGTACCGATATATCGTATCGGCAAAAATAACGCCTTCTATTTATACACGACCGAAGCAAAAACCGGGGAAGTCCCGTTTTATAATTTCATTGCGAGGAAACGTTTGTGATTGGTAGAGAGTGACATTTCGGATTTCGGAGGAAGCCTCTTATATTCTGTAGTGCTTTAAAATACGGCGTTTTAAACTTGACTGTTAATTAGAGGAAATAAAATAAATACAGGGTGTTTCTAAATTCATGAGCCAAAATTCAGGGGGTGATTGCTCGTATGAAATTAAGATGGGTCTTTCCTATAACAAAATTTCCTCAACCCACTCCTTTCCGAGATATCACCCTTATAAGGTGGTGACTAAAATTGAGTTTTTAGTTTTTTTTTTTTCTAAATTTCAGTAAAGCTACAAACTTGAAATTCTATAATTTTCGTGCACTCGCAAAGGACTAACCACGGGTATTTTTTTTATTTTTAAATAAAACAAGGATTTCAAGTTATAATTTTATTTCATAAAACTTCATCTCGAAAAAAGTTTTGATATGAAATAAAGTAAGAGTTGCTAATTTTACCCTCCTATAATGTAACAGGAATATTGAAAAAATACCCGTGGTTAGTCCTTTGCGAGTGCACGAAAATTACAGAATTTCAAGTTTCTAAGCTTTACTGAAATTTTAGAAAAAAAATAAAAACTCAATTTTAGTCACCACCATTTAAGGGTGATATCTCGGAAAGGCGTAGGCTGAGGAAATTTTGTTATAGGAGAGACCCATCTTAATTTCATACGAGCAATCACCTCCTGATTTGTGTCACATGAATTTAGAAACACCCTGTATTTATCTGTGATATGAAATATTTATAACCCCATTTGTATGCAGTACAATAGGCAGAAGGACTTCAGTCGATAGCCTATTGGACTGAATTTTCAGTATGACAATTATTATTATTAATTATAAAATAAATAATAAAAATAATATTCTATTTAAATGGAGAGTTCAAATAAAATGGAAGCGGAAACGGGCACTGGTAGAAAGAAAACGGTTGCTGATGATTTTGTTTTACTTTTTTAGTAAAAAATTTACCTTTGGAATAAAAAAAATTATTTTGATTAACAAAGTATTTCATTTATGCACTGAAAAGAGTGAAAAGCGCAAAAAAAAAATTTTTCCGATTTATCGGCAATTATCTTGCCGATACGATACGATACCGATAATCGGCAACAACTACGGATATGCCGATATATCGATAAGAATATCGGTATCGTTCTATCCCTAGTTTTTGCTTTGGCCTTATCAATTGCTCTTTTCTAACATGCACACTGTTTGTCAAAAACACAATGATCGAACTGTGTGCCTGGAATCAATATTTTGATCCACTTGAAGAAAAATATTGTTTAGATTCTGTTATGATCAAAACTGAAAACTGTCTATTAAAAATGGAAGTCAGAAGAAATGATAAGAACTATGCGTCTGCATTTTTCTTATACACATATTTGTGAAAATAATAAATAAATAAAAATTAAAGTAGTTTTATTATATAATAATATAAATTATCAAATATTTGTGTATTAATAAATAACAATTTAGTGGGTCCTATGATTGAACATTTAGGCCGAGTTTTAACAGTAACAAGGCAAGTTCGTACCAACACATTACTGTTATTTTCCACCTGTTAGGGTGGATTCATAAACTACGTTCAGTTCGCGCTCAGTTCGAGTTGGCAAGACATAACCACAAATTCCACAAAATAAAATTATATTTTGATGTTATTTTTGTTTTAATTATATTTGTAGATGATGTTGGTTATAAAATAATTATGAATCCGTTATAATTTCTTATCCAAAACATACTTACCGTGTCATTCTGCTGTTTATGTTGAACTCGAACTGAGCGTGAACTGAACGCGAACTGAATGTAGTTTATGAATCCACCTTTATGTTCTAATTTAACAGGTTCGCATCATACGAACTTGCCTCGTTACTTTTAAAATTCGGTCTAACATATACGTTACGGATAACGTAAACGTTCAATCATAGCACCCAGTATCTATTAAATTTAACTATTTGACAGTGCTTTTTCAGCAAAACAAAAAAGTATCCAAAACAGCCGATATGAATTTGTCAATATAAAATGTATGTAAAATATTTAAATTATAATCCCATTCAGCCTCTTTAGGGATTATGGCCAAACAAAAATCAGCATAAATCATGACCCATGATGTCAGTCTGCCTTGAATCAAAAGAATTTTTAGCTTCTTTAGGGCCTTTTCAGTTGTGCAAATATTGTAATGGGCATAATACAATAAGGCAGCCATGTTGTGACAAATCACTTGGCATTTGGGGCATGTGCTATAGAGAAAGTAAAAGTTGAAAAGTCTTTTGGTAGGTAGATAGGGGGTAAACGTCAAACCACGTCGGGCGGCTCCGACAATTTCGCAGTAATGTTTACCTGCCAGTGTCGTTTCATAGAATGAGTAATTTTAAATTGTTATCGGCGGAACCGGACAATCGCATGTATTTATGGATTATAAATAATTATTAAACATGTATTATAATAGGTATTCAAATCATAATTTTACAAAATTTCAACAGCTATTCACAATTTATTAAACTATTTACTCGAAATTGTTATTAACATCTATAAAATAATTTTGTACGCCAATGTATCGCGTCCACTTCGGTGATATCCGCTGCCAACCTGTCAATTTATGTGTATAAAGTGGGAGAACTGGCAAAAGCATTTCCAACTTTTACTTCTGTTCTACTACTTTAAAATCCATTTCAAAAGTTACCCTTTAAATAAGTTGGGTTAGGATTTCTCAAATCATGGAAAACTAATTATTTTCCTGAATAAAAGATTTTGAAAATGATAGAATTACATGTAAAGGTTATCATCTTACCGTTTATATGCTTTGAATGTGTCAATTAATTAAATTATAACCACTTCAAAAACCAGAGTTTGAGTAGGCTGTGTTAAAATTCTTCAAATCAAAGACAAATAAATATTTTCCTGAAAAAAAATTATGAAATTGATAGAGAAACATTTAAACGTTATTACCTTACTGTCCATATGCTCTAATATGTTAAATAATTAAATTGCTTTCATTTTCAAAATTATGCCTTAATATTTTCTATGGCCCCTGTGTTATTCATATAGACAATAATGACAGTTGACAGTATGGTTCCTTTGTTAGCATCCAGTGCTATTACCTTCCTCAACCTGTGATGCACACTAAACATGTGTAGGTATAGACATTCTTGAAGTATTATCAAAGTTTAAATCCAGAGACCACCATTCCCCATTTTATTCCACCACTTTGTTTTAAATGACAGTGTCCAGCTTCAAGCGTTAAAATAAGAATAATATGTTTTGTTTGTTCAATACTGATTGTGACATCTTGTAATAGAAAAGTATTTGGAACAAGCATGAAAAATTCAGTGATTAAATATAATAGTCACTCATGCTCCAGTCGTGCAGGTACAAAATTGCCAGTAAGCTGTGCCCATCACTGACAAGGGTACATATGTTGAGTGGTTAAGTAGTCGAAAATCCTGCACACTCACCCTATCGTATTTTGGTAGTCACAAATAGTCTACAGAGCTAAATCATAACTTTTAATATTCATGAATGTCAGCAAAATTATGTTTACGTCTTAAAGTATTTTTGAATATTATGAGAATTTACATATTCAATCCTGTATCTCAAAAACTAGTCATAGGAGAACTTTGTGCTGATAGACACTTTTAAATGGGAGTACAAAAACTGCAACATAATATACATAAAATTCAGGAGACCAAAAGCCTTTTGCCCTAAGGAAACTATGAGTCCGTTTATGTTCCCTGTATACTGCCTAACATTTTACAAATTTGTTTTTTGATTATAGGGATTCAAGTGATTCAGAAATTTTATCAGGAATGTTTTTTGTGAAACAGAAAATATTCGTTTCTACCATTTTGTAAATAACTTTTCAGGACCCACTATATTTTCAATGTTTAGAGCTTTGAAGCATTTTATAGAATGTAGAATTCTAATATGGCATTATTTATTGTTAGAAATTGTCAGTTTCTGCTTCTTAAATAATAAATATACAGTGACAAATCGCTTTATTAAATAGGTACTAAACACTTTACCATTTTTAGTAGAGCAATAAATATAGCGCTTTTAAGTTTTTTAAAGATATATTACTGGTTTATTTTTTATTTTCTCTTAATCTTAAAAACACGCAGTCACAAAACTCATTGGATGGTCTCTACACTTTGATAATCTTTCAAAAATTCAATCTAGTTAAACAGTACAGCACCAATTAAATACTTACCAATTCCACTTTTCAGAACAGTTTTTAATGTGTCATTATCCCTATCTAACCGAGTTCCGTTTATCGAAACGATAAAATCAAAGAATGGTTGAAGTCCTGCTTTGCTACCAGGAGAATTTTCTTGGACCTAAAAAAGTATAAAAGTAACACCTCAACATGCCAATGCAATAAACAAATAAACCTACACGAAGAACATGGTACCCTTCGGTTCCACCTCCTGGAATTTCTACACTTTCAGAGTTTCCCATTTTTTTCAAAATACTTAGAAAATACGTGGCATCATAACCCAAAAATTGAAAATATCAACACATCTTTTAATTTTGACGTGTTTTTGTTGTTGTCTCTTTCTACATTTTTATCTCATTTTTATATTTATTATTACGCAAGAGAAAAAAGGATGGGCTATTCTACTTCTTTTCTGGTTTTTTTTAAGTTTTGGATCGGTTACTTCTTATTTATTCAATCATTGAATATATTATTCACAGAACACTTACTCTATATTATTATTACTATCTACGTTTATTTGGTCTCTTACTCTGCAGCCTTTCAGCAGTAATCCAACCATGGATATAGCAACCACAGGATAGATCATTTATAACTTTTGCACTCACTAAAATGGCGAGAAAATCAGGTCCGGTTTTAAACGTTTTTACTTCTACTATTTATGTAAATATGATTTGAATGCGAAAAAATTAATTGCTCAAAGTTTTTAATTCAACATTAAAGTTAAAGCATTTTTGAACGAAAATCGTATTAATTTAAGTTTAACAATGATTTTTTCATAACCAGCATTCCTTCTTCGATAAACCATGTAGGTAGAAAGTATAGGAAGATGCTTTCATGTGGTCAATGTTCACCATATTGTGTATACGAATCCGTCAAATAGCTAATCGTGATTTCTATCAACGGTTTTTTATTGTTATGTCGTTTGCAAACTAAATATTTTGTCCATATTAAAAGTTAAATATTGGTCGCTTATGCTCAACGTAGTTGTAGAGCATCCTAACAGATATGCATACGAAGAAATCTGAAATAACATTCCACAACTATACAACATAGTAAACAATGTGTAGGGCAGTATTTGGAAAATGGAGATATTAATTGTGCTTTGAACGAAAATGTTGCAACCGCATTAAATGAGTTCTCCTAAATTTTAAAATTAGTCCGCGGCCTACAAAAAATATTAGTAGATAAATGTCGAAGTTTTCGTGGAAATTGTATTCCTCTAGAACAGGTCCGAATTTTAAAATGTACTGTTCACTACAGATCAGTGATCCTGTTCGTCAAATCAATGAATCTTATCAGGTGGCTACAGAGCTCTTGTCTTATCAGAAAGTTAAAATAGCATGGCAGACGATATACTGAACATGATCGTAATTATTTACCAAACTACATGCTATCGGGATTTACAATAGTATATTACGTAACAAGAGTTATTGTAAGTAAAACCCATTACGCACGAACTGAAAAAGATTACGCACGAAGCCGTGCAACACCGAGGCGTAAATTTCACGAGTGCATAACGGGCTTACAACTCGTGTAACGTACTATACTTTTTCTACGCCCACTTATTTTATTTTATTAAATAAAGTACATATGCTTGGGTCGCCAATCCATAAATTTTCGATAGGTAATTTCGTATCTTTTTTTAGATTTTAGCGGTAACAAATTATGTGTGGCAGCTTGGCGTTTTTTAAAACCTCCGGTTGAGTGCTCATAATTTCATCACTTTTACTACTAACAGATATATTCGTAGGTAAAGTTGAGAAAATGTTCGAATACAATAATATTTTGTTACAAAAATTGACAATATAAATGATAAGACGTTTATTTCTATAGCATGCTAAGAAAACGAGAAAAATTGTATAATGTGTTGCCGACATTTAGGGACATCAGTTTTTAATCCAAAATGTATCTAGCTAATTCTAAAAGTTTTTATGTTTTTCAATTGACCAAATTTATGTAAATAGACCAAATAAAGTCGAACGTAAATAAAAATTTAATTGCAATTTGATTAAACTAAGAAATTTAAGTTTTCTTATCAAAACTCACGCATAGATGAATTATTATTTACATTTTATACATTGGAGGGGCACAGCGTCCATTTTAACCACTAGAAACGCATGTTGTGCGTTTGACTGTTAATGAAGCAGTGGAGCGGAAGATCCATAGATAAATTTTATCTATGAGCGCACGTGTATGTTATGAGATCTCATTACGTGCATGTCATTGTTAAATGTCATTTACAAGGAATGTTGACAGTGCGATTTTTAACGTTTACTGACATGGGTGTAGAAAAAATATATTGTAACATATATTGCTGGCTATATTGTATATTCCCTTAAAAAGAAGCTTATTTGTGTACTGACCAGAAAAACCTACACATAATTTCGATAAAAAAAATGAAGAGCCTATACAGTATCCCTCTATTGATGTGTTAGACGTTTGTATTCAATGTGAGCAAATAATAAAAAAGAGATGTTACTTCAAATTATTCACCCTATTTCAGTAGAATATGTAGGGTATTCAGTGTTACATTAAGGGCCGATTCCACCGTTGTGTTAAACGGAGATTAAAATGACATTGTTAATGTAAAAATGTCATTTTAAACTTAGTTTAACACAACGGTGGAATCGGTCCTAAATCATTTATAAATAAAAATATATTTGTAAATTGCACAATTTGGATGAGCACCCCTTATATAACCATAAAAGAGTACTATTAATTAAAGCTGCAGCTAACAAATGTACAAACACTAAACCTCGTTAAAAATAAAAATAAAAAATGTGATAGCATAAGACATCACAATAATAAAATTGTATTGCTTTGTGGTCAATATAAACATAATTTTTATGTTGTTATTTTGGCCTTATATATTTTCTAATTATACATACCTACTGAACCACTGTTTGATTATCTTATGTTAGATCAGTTACTGTCTAACATAACAGTTGTTACCTTAAACCATGGTATATCACATGAAATTTGTAGACTTTGTATTTATTCTATAAAATACTATAGGTTTGTTCCAACACGCGCGAAATCTGTAATAATACGGTACAATAATGCGCTCCTCTACGCAAAAATTGTGTACAGCGAATGATTTATACTGTAATATTATGGTTTTTGCAAGTGTTGACATAGACCTTATGTAGCATAAAATCTTCAATGAAACTTATGTTGTTTATAAGTGGAATTACTGAAAATGAATTATTATAACCTTAATCATCTTTTTTCTAATTAATAAATTTTTTTTTCGATTTATGGCCTAGGTGTATATACCTAATATGCCAGTCTCAAGTTTGTGTTTAAATTCTCAATCATGTGTGTTCTGTGTAGGCTTTGTCACTGTTTCCCAGCGCCACTTCAGGAACAGCACTGTTAATTAGAACCCAACAGTGAATGGTCGAGTGGGGAATCCTATATACCACGGTATCAGAATTAATTTTAAATAATTAAATTAAATAAAAAAATCCCGGCAAACGGTGGGATTCGAACCTGGGACCCTTACCACTTACCACTGAGCCACCCACCCCCTATTAATAAATTAAACTTACATTATTTCTTAAATAAAAAGAAAAAATAGATTTGGGTAGCATTTCCAATAGTCCGTTTCTGGCATATCGGCCATATTGAGTCTACATAAACCGCGCCCAGTATACCGTCACAGAATAACTATTCTGTGATACCGTGTTGAATGTTTGAAAGAGATGCGATGGAGATGCGTCTCCCTACCTTCTAACTCCGTGGCACTTAGGCCCGTATTTAAAAACAGAACTTACGTGAGTCGGACTTGGGTAAGTCGTCCTTGAACTAAAATCGAAGTTCGGTTACAACGTCTCTATAGTTCGAGGTGGTTCCGGTATTACACTGGAATTTAGAGATGGCTATTAGCAAATCTGTAACTGTTGTTCATTTACGGATTTGTTACTACCCATCTCTAAATTCACGCGATTTAACCGAACTTCGATTTTCGTTCAAGGACGACTTACCCAAGTCCGACTCAGCTGAGTTTTGTTTATAAATACGGGCCTTACTGTCGTATCCCCTGGTTGCCATATCCAACAGACATTAATTTATTATTTTTATATTGATATTTGTTTATCCTTTCTCGCAAGGGTAATATTTGTATTATAAAATATACGTTTTTTTACCGTGCATTGAAAATAATTTGCTGTAGGACTTAGCTGTACATACACTTTAATTAGACAATTGAAGTAGTTAAAGAAGAAGAAGAACTGGCACATTGACAATTTGCTTCACTTACTTCAAAAACGAGCAAATACTACAATCAAAACATGTAAATTTAAAGTGATTCTTTATAGGAATTAATTTCTAGCTCATACAAAAATATGTGTGTTTTCTAAGAACTTATGAAATTCGTAAAAAGACATGAAAAAGAAAGCTATTACCTAAGCTCAAAAGTGAAGTGACACTTTCCTTTGTTCTGATTTTTAACAAATTTATTGCGTCTTTAGTACAAACCTCATGCGATGAAGATTTTGAACGAATTGGAGCTTCAAGGAAAAATAAAACATTTATAAAATATAGGTGAGCTTCCATTTTTCAAAATCACGAATCAGCTGTTCTTTGTTTTGATTTGATAAAATGGCATTGTCATCGCCATTTTTTTTTTAAATAACAAAATTTATGATAACACTTGTTTATTTTAAACGCATTTAAGTTTATTTATTTTCATTTATAAGTAAAAAACAATATGTAATTTTAAACAAAACCCTAGTGACGTATTAAACAGTTAACACAAGTTCTCTATTCCATTTAGAACTATCTATGTAGAAACATAAATTTAGTTACATAATATTGAACCCTTTGTTAGTGTGGCGGGAAAAACTTACTAGGAAGTGGGAAATTTTCAGGAATGTGTAACAGAGTTGCCATGTATTGAAAGAAGAATTTTTTCTTTGTAAAATGTATGCAACATAATTGTTTATCACTATATTATATCATACTTAAGATCATTTGTCTTAGAGGTAAATTATAATATATAAATTTGAGGCACCGTATTTAAACTTTTTTTTAATCAAATTAGACCCATTTTGTATGTAAGGTGTTGCCACATGTCTTAGTATTCTCTCTTTTAGTTTTTAACAAGTAATAGAATATAATAAAACCCTAAGATTTGAAAATGCATCATCTTATTTATGGATGTGTCTCATCTCTAATACAAAACACAGTGTCTAGGTACACACTAACTTGTAGGCAATTCAAAAAATTATATACACATGTGAAACGTCTTGACAGAGTAGGTGAGCTGTGTGCAGACCATTGGTGTTTATGCCGGTCGGCGTAGCTAGGTATGGATTCGTTTTCTTGTTGTCAAGGCATTATTATTTGTTCATGTATGTGAAATTTGCTTCTAATGTTTATAAAATACTACTGCTAGTCACAGTGTAAATGAAAACAAACAAGATGCATTCACACAAACACCTCCCACCACAGCAATATGACGTTTTGCGTGTGTAAAATTTTTTGATTTGTGTACACTTTAGTGTGTACCTAGCAACAGCGAATACAAAACAGTGGCCTGGATGTATACTGTAAGAGTTAGATCAGGATATTTTTATTTATTAGTTTTGATTGTCTGTATATTTTCGAAAAGTACATAATAACCTGAGATTTTTTTATAATATTTGGATACTGTTGGTTTTCCATGGTTTTTTTCTTCTTGTCTAATTTTAAGGATAGGAAAACTTCTTTAAACACGTTTAGATATAGTTTTATGAATTATTGAAATAGGATCAGGGTTAAGCAAACAATTTAACCAGTTCGATTTTTCACAATGTGATCTGAATTTGCTATAGTTTTTTCTGAAATAGATTCTAACATAGAATTTTTTTCTTTGTAAAATTAAGTGAATAATTGCAAGAACTGATTCATGATCAGAGAAGCCCACATGTTGTGTTTTACATTCTACAACATTCTAATATTTATACAAACGTATGCAATCAAAGTAGCAGTCTTTTTCATAAGGAGTTGGTTCTTTATCAAGCACAGTTTGACCAAAAGAATCTAATAAATTGTTGAGGGATCTAACACTGTTTAAACAATCATCCAGAAAATTAATATTAAAATACAACAAATCAATTGAACTACAGGTGGAGGCACAGTTAAACCAAATTCTCTGTGCCTGTTAAGAAGTCTAGAAATTACTGAATTACTTGTTTTAAAGTAATCACTGTCACTACTTCAACTTGATTTAAATGCCTTTTAGGATGAAGAGAAAGAGACCTTCCTAGAACATCCACTTTTAGTCGATGATTTTTTTCCCAGCATAAATATATATTTCATAAGATAGAAAAACGTATGGACCATTTTAGGAAAATTATATATAGGACAAAAATTATAGAGAATAACATGAGGAATAACATCACAAACAACTTTTATTTGAATAATTTTCTTTTCCAAATGTAAATAACAGATATATTTCATAAAACAGAAAAATGTGTGTTTTAAAAGATGGTCCTTAATCCGTTTTGAGTAGTTTTTAATAATAATATACCTCAAAAAGCAAAAATGTTTTAAGGATATTCCAATATAAAATTGTAATTATATGCATGCCACTGGGAATACTTCGTGATATTATGTGTCTTGAGAATATTGGGTGGTATGAATAAAACCAAAGTATATACTCGGAGCATCTACTCATGAGCATGAACATTTAGTAAAAGTTTCTACTCCGTTTCATATGAATAAAAATGATAAATTTCGAAAAGTACCTACTCTGGCCTAATTAAGTATATACTCTTATATAGGTACATCCATTCACTCTGCTGAATTGACAAAATAATGTAAACATAAACAAGCTGGTATGGGCATTTAAAAAACTGAATACCATTTAAAACATTTAATTTTCGTTTAGTTTTCAAGGGTTTAAGGTTTATTAATTTTAGTTTGAGTTAAAATTCTTAAAAATGAGCAGTGACGAAGACAGTGAAAGTGAAAAAAGTGATTTGCAAATGTCATTTGCATTATTGCTTCAAAAATATCCTTTGAAACAATTTTTTGAAGAAAATTTTGATCAACAACTAGTAAGTTGTTAAAAAAAAATTAATAATATGAAAAGCAGAGTTAAGAAGAAGACGGATATTAATAGAACTGGAAATAAAAAAATATTTTTGCAGGCCTGGGAAAACGTTATTCTTGCACTGATGGATGGAGACTCAAACCCTGTTATTAATAGAATTGAAGGTAAGTAAAAGGTTTGCTTAAATTATATTTTAAATGTAATTTAAGGACATATTTGCAAAAAAATATAAATAGAAGTAAAATAACAATATTTTATTTTTTTAGGTGCAACATCAGTAGGTGTGTTACCAAATGATGCGGATGTTAGCAAACGTAAAGAAATCGATGTTGATGTTGCTGTTGCAGGATATAGCCAAGAAGTTCAGTTTGATGTACCTAAAAAAATTAAAATTTTCCATAAAAGTGAAACTCTAAATGCCCTAAGTAATTATGAAACCGATCTGACTAGAAAACTGTCCACTCAACAACTACAATGACTTGTATTGTTAAAGCAATTAAAAGTTTTAGAACTCAAAGAAAAAAAGTTGCAACAGGAATTAATGGCGCAAAAGCCTGTTTCCAACTTTACTGTTGTTGGCAAAGAAAATAAAACCTTTTTCGATTTACATTAATATTATCCAATTTATAACCATTATAACCAATATTATACTTATATAGTTCTTAATAATTTTATACCTAATTATGTAAAAAATATTGTTGTTGGATAATAAATAAAATATTATTGACTATTTACCTTAATTATGATATGCATAAATCACTGTAGCCAATTCATTTCGTTTCTGTTGTCCTCTTATTCTAATATTATCTACTTCTCCTTGATCTTCGTTTGTAGAGAAGTTATAAGAGAAGATATAACATTTTTGGAAATTTTGTCTGTGGATAATCGGACTTTATATTGAAGGATTGGAAACCTTTGCTTTAATTGACCAAGCATCTCTCAATAATAACACGTTCTCTAGTAAACAATCTATAAAATGCTCGCTCTTTGATAGTTGTAGGATTTCAGAATGGTACCATCAACCATGGAGCTATCCCATATTCTTCATCTCCTAACAGCACTGCTTCATTTCTTCTTAACATAGTTTTTGCGACTGTGAAAACATCGGAATTCCTCCAGATTCTCGAATCATGAACAGAACCTGGCCAGGATGCATCAATACTCGTGAAACATTCATCGGTATCGCAAGTAGCTTGCACGTTAATACTTGGATATCCCTTTCTGTTGATATATTCGTCACCATGGTGTGAAGGCTTCCTAATTCTAATATGGGTGCAATCAATTACACCGATTGCACATGGAAAATTGTAACGAATCTGCCATTTTTCTTTTGCCCGTAAAATATCAGCTGGATTTTGTGCAAATTTTATCATTACTAACTTGTCCATGATTTCAGCAACAATTTTTGATACGGAAGTTTGATGAACTCCAATGTCTTCTCCTACTCCTGATTGAAAACAGGGATCACCAATATATCTTAAAAATATTTTCATTTTATCCGTATTGGATAAGGCACCACCTCTTCTCTCCTCTTTTTCTTCTCCCAAAAATGTATGTGATATGAGTGGAACATTTTCTTCAGAAAATCGATATAACTTTTTAAAATTATGAGGTGTAATATTCCGTCTGGGATTATATTGTTTTTCCGAACGCACATTAAACATAAATTCCGCCATTTAACTTATTTGGAAACGTAAAAGAAAGCTTATACTCACCGACTGAGTTTGATCATTAGCAGACTCCGATTTATCGGAGTACATACTCAATTGTGATAGAAGAAACTAATTTTTATACATATCAAAATATAAGTTTATAATCAACTATTTTGTACATAAGAGTAGATACTCGAGAGTAGATACTCTTCCACATTTTTATTATTACGAAATGAAGTATATACTTTTAATTTTGAAGTATAAAGTATATACTCAGTTTTATTCATACCACCCATTGACAGATTTAAGTTGCAAGGATAAGGCAGTACTCGACGGAGATGTTTAAGAAAAAAGGTGGGAAATCCTCCCATTCAAAAATTACTAAGTATATAAATAAATATATATTACGGAAAGATCCATTAGTATACATAAATTACATAAAATAGCTTAAATACATTATAAAAGGTAGGTACAAAGAATCTTAACATTAAATACATGAGATTAAATATACCACAGTTATTAAAAACATATTCTCTTCACATCATTCTGGAATTGACTAATTGAACATCCATTGACATCTAAATTGTATTGATTAGCCAGTCTCATTAGTCTAGGTAGTGGCGGAAGATAAACATAATTAGTGAGGTGAAGTTGAATTGCAAATAGACTATTATTCCTTGTAGTTCTTTTGGGAACTCTAAATGCAATCATGGATAATAACTCATCAGAAGTAACAATAGCGGCTAGGATCTTATAGAGGAATGACAGATCCATGAAGATTCTTCGATTTACAAGGGTTGGGAGGTTTATTAAATTCAGAATTGTGGAATAATTATATGAACCTGTCGCTAGACCAAGTAAAGCACAATATCGCAAATATTTATTTTGGACATTTTCATTCCTTTTTACAGAGTTGTAAAATGGACACCATATGGTATAGCTGTACTCCAAAATCGACCTAACGTATTTATATTTATTAAAACAAAGCAATAAATTTTCATAGATTTAATACAGAATCCAGCGTAAATGTTTTTTTTTATTACTTTGAAATTTTTTTAAAATTAATACTTTTCGACGGAAAATTTGAGGTTTCTCCACCCTAAGTTTTGTTATTGTTGGTATCTCCTGAAAAGTACAAAAATCGGACTCAAAATAAAGGCTCAGAAGGAATTATAAATTTTCAAGGTGTTCGGTTTGCTCTTAAAATATTTTGTTCCTAGAGTAAAAGTTTTTTTTTGTTTTTAGATTAAGATCCAAAAGAAACCATGCAAAATTATGAATCATTAAATGATGCAGGCACTCACGAACAAGACGAACAAGCTATATTATTCCATACAGCAGAAACAACTAGGTCGAAATGGACTCACATAGATGATTTAGATTCATTTTTCAGTCGAATGTACAAATACCATCAAAAACATGGATTCACCTGCATGTTGCTACAAGATATTTTAGATTTAAACAAATTCGCATTTGTTGTAGTTTTAACAACATACCTTTTCCATGGAATCAACTACGCGACATTGTTTGGCCAAAACCCACACCAACAAAACAACTCGAAAATATCTCTTAGTGATGTTATTTTATCACCTTCCGAATGTATAGCAAATTTCACACTTGTCACTTGGTGCATGAACATTATCGCCTTCACGGTTATGATATTAAAATTTTTAACAAGATTTTATCAACTCATCCATTTCTGGGACATCAAACAATTCTACAATACTGCCCTAGGTATACGTGATAAAGATTTAGATAATTTAACGTGGTCTGATATAATGGAGAAAATTAAAGAGGTACAATTAGATATACAAATGTGCATACATAAAAGGGAATTAACGGAATTGGATATCTATCATCGAATATTGCGACAAGAAAATTATATGGTTGCTATGGTGAATAAACATCTTTTTCCGCCAAGGCTCCAGTTACCTGTGGGAGGTGAAATAGTGTACTGGACCAAAACATTAAGGTATCTACAATCCATTTACCTTCAATTAAAATACGACAAGTGAGAAATGGCCCACTAGATGCGTACAAGAACAAAAGAGAATAAACCAGAGAGAAAATGAAATACTTATTGAAGTAGTGAGGGGCACTTCTCACTTGTCTTGTAACTTCCCCAACCCACTTCCATCGTTCATTATTAACTTTTTTTATTTAGTAATTTCCTTTTTTTTAATTTATAATTTGAACAACGGCTGGTTGCAACAACATTCGTTAAAATTTATGGTCCCAATAAACTTTGACGTAGCTTGAGAATGTGATCTGTCCGAATGATGTGAACACAGCCTAATAAAATTATGAGATTAGCTATTGAGAGATTTAACAAGCATTCTTGCAAACGGGTAATATAATAAGATAGTAATTTATAGTTGAAGGATAACAACTAGGAGGGATGGGCAAAATAGTCGATTAGTCGATAATCATTCTTCTACTAATAGAAATAATCGATTATTTTTAAGTAATCGATTTATTCGATTAAACGAATATTTTTAATTAATCGATTGTTCAAATTTTTAATTATTTTGATTAATAAAAAATTATAATCAGAAATAATCGATTGATCGATTATTTTCGAGTAATCAGTTATTTTCGATTAATAGATTTTTTATTACTTTGAATAGATTTCAAAGATAATTGTTGTAATTAATACCACAAGATGGTTTTCATGAATCTCATTTTAGAGGTAATTTTGTAAAGTATACTGTAACATGTTTTTAATCAATCTCTTTATTTTTTGTTTGCATTTACATTTATATTATCACAGAATAAACAATATACAATAACAATTAATATTATTTAATTATTTAAATGTACATTAAAAAAATATTTTTATTCCAATTTCAGTCTCTAGTTCAATGTTTTGAAAATAATTTTGAAATAAGTCAGCATTTTTATTATTATAATTTACATATCGAACTAGAACGTGTTTATTATTAATTGCATATGAAATTAAATATTTTAATTCAATAAATAATTAATTTCATATACAGGATGTTAATTTAATTAGTGAATATAAAGAAAAATGTTCAAATCTGAACAACTTTATACCATTTTTTTAATTACACTCTTTTGACCGTTTTTTACACAGATTTTTTTTAACTTTATAATTTTTTACACCACATTTTTTCTTTATTTTTCTTTTCTTTTTAATTTCCCCTTTCTCATTTTTTTTTTATTTTTTTATATTTTAAAAGATTGCTTTTTTAGTATTGAAAAATTACCTATTTTTTAAAAATTACCTTAATTCTATCTATGACTAAAACAATTTTTTTTAATATTTCCCCATTTTTAATGGAAAAATAATCCCATTTTTAATTTTTTTTTTTTTTATTTTCTTATTTTTTTGGGGATAATTGCCCTAATTGTTGTTTTTAAAGATTGACCCATTTTTCGGAATATTAACATTTTCCCAAGAGTTCCTCAAAATTTTAACCCTTTTTTAAACTAAATTACCCCTTTTTTTAAGTTATTCCATTTTTAAATTATTTAAAATTTTCCAAAAATACCCCACTTGGAAACCCCCTCTTTTTTTTTTCGAAGCTATACCCTCTCTTTTCATATGTATTTAATTTTTTCATAAAAATATATAATTTTTTGAATTACCCCAATTATTTCGAAAAATTACTATTTTTAAAATTTCCCCCTAAATTACCTTTTTTTTTCTAAGGTTATCCTATTTATTTAAATTAAATTGATAATCGATTAATCAAAAATAATCATTTACTCAAAAATAATCGATTATGGCGATTAATAAAAAACCGATTATTTTCGAGTATTTTCGACTAATCGATTATTTTCAATTAATCAATTTTTTACCATTTTTACATTTTTTTCTAATTTTACCATTTCTGGCACCAACTTTTTTATTTTGTCCTTTTTACCATTTTTTGCTCCTAAGAAATTTCTAATATTATTTTTTGTTCTTTTTTAATATATTTAAAAAAAAATTTTTAAATACCCCAATTTTTTTAGAATAAGTACCACAATTCTATGAATGATTAAAATATTTTTTTTTTCCTTTATTTTTATCCATTTTTAATAAAATTTATCCCGATTTTTTTTTTAAATACCTCAATTGTTTTTTTTGTAAAATTACCCCCCCCCCCCCCCTATTTTTAGAAATATTTACCTTTTTTTTAATGTTGACCTTTTTTAAACTAAAACTAAATTGATTAATCGATTATTTTCGATTAATCAATTTTTTACCTTTTTTATTTTTTTTTTATTACACCCTTTTTACCATTTTTAACACCACTTTTTTTATAATTCCCTCCTTTAAAATTACCCCTTTATTTAAATTACCACACTAAATTACCCATTATTTCTGGAGGTTGGCCCATTTATTTAAATTATATTGATGATCGAATAATCGAAAATAATTGATTATTTGAAAATATTCGAATACTCGAAAATTATCGATTAATATACGTAAAAACGATTATTTTCAATTAAGCGATTATTTTTGATTAATCGATTATTTCCGATTAATCGATTATGTTTATGGAAAAATCGAATATTTATTTTGATAATCGCCCAAGTCCTAGTAACTACTAAAAGACCCCGTACTTTTCTTTTGAAGAAATGGCACACAGTTAATTTATTTAAATATTTGATATTTTGTACTACTCGTCCGTTTGTACAAAACAAATGACTTGCATTTGATTACCAGAATAATACTTACTGATCAAATAATATTTCCAATATAACCTATGACATAAAAATTATTATTAGTTAAAAATTAATTATGAAATTGTGATAAAAAAAAAGTTTAACTTTTTTATATTATTATGCTCCATTGTTCGCATTATAATTGTTGTCTTTTTATATTAATTTTTTTGTAGGTACAACATCCAAGGTTTGCTCTTTTGGTCACCTTGGTCTCCATTCGAGAGCCCGTGGCAGTTGAGGGAAGAATATAAAAAGCAAAATTTAAGAAACGAACTTGCAACTCAATTAGGCCGTAACATTTTATGGCTGGCGTGCATAAACCTCTGCTTGGCACCAATCATATTTCTGTGGCAAATTTTGTACAGTTTTTACAGTTACGGAGAATTAATTAAACGGGAACCGGGACGAATGGGAATAAGGAATTGGTCGCTATATTCGAAATTGTACTTTAGACACTTCAATGAGCTCGATCATGAGCTACAAGCTAGATTGATACGAGCTTATCGCCCCGCTTCGGAATATTTACAAGCTTTTAACAGTCCGATACTTACAGTCGTCGCGCAATATATCGGTTTCGTGAGCGGATCGTTATTCACGGTTATAGTTGCTTTAACGATTTACGATGAAGATGTTATTGCTGTCGAAAACGTTTTAACTATCATGACTGCCCTCGGAGGATTGACAGCACTTTGTAGATCTTTAATACCCGAGGAAACGACGGTATGGTGCCCGGAACAGTTACTGGAATGCGTCGTAATGCATACTCACTATTTGCCGGGTGATTGGAAGGGAAATGCGCACACTTCGCGCATCAGATGGAAATTCCAAGAATTATTCCAAATGAGCGTACTAGCGATAATAGACGACATGTTCGCTCCTATATTGACGCCTTTTTTAATGTGGAGATGGGTGTATCCGCGATCGTTAGAAATAGTTGATTTTTTTCGAAATTTCACCGTAAACGTTGTAGGGGTTGGCGATGTTTGTAGTTTCGCCGAAATGAACATAAAAAAACACGGTAACCCAATGTGGCAAGTAGACGGAACAATGGGAGCAGAAGATCAGTACAATCAAGCCGAAGATGGAAAAGTTGAACTTTCCCTCGTACATTTCGCCGCTACAAATCCGAATTGGGTACCACCACCAGATGCACAAGAATTCATCGAGTCCGTACAAGATGAATTTGCGGAAATGTCGGTACCGTTGGAATCGGAAGCTTTGATGTTGGGCGGTAGCGTTACTAATACCGGTATGGCTAATTTCAATCAGCAGCAAGGTTTCACTTTAAGCGCGGAAGAGAGAAGCAAGAGGAAAACAGATGCTAACGCTACCGTTACTCTAGTACTACCCGATGATATGGGAAAAAGCGAAACGAACCTAATAGAAGAACCAGCAGCGGATCAAGATTCCCGCACGAGCAGCCGCGCGGCGAAATCTGTCGTTTGGTTTACACCACCACCAGATCAACCACAAACTAGCACTAGCAGTTTTACCGCTTTGCGGGAGAAACGGAAGTCGGTGGCGTGGCTCGAGGGGCCGGATATTACCGCGTCTACGAACATGACGAAGAGCACTATGGTGCTTCAACAACGTAACGCTAGGGCGAGAATAGTAAATGCGAACGCGAGGTCTGCGGATCAGTTTCAAGAAACTACTCCTTTGTTGTCGGAGAGGCGGCCTAGTCCATGAAGAGTGTTGGTGGTGTAAATATTGAAATTATAGTGAATAAAATTAATTTATTATTTGTGGAATTTTTATTTTGGATTATTGGGGGTAGGTCGGTACTTTAAAAAACTACATTTTTAAAATGTTCATGAAAAATATCTGGGGCATACTTGATTCCAAATGAGTTTTTTAAAAAGCAATAAGATATATTAGTGATTACATAATTTGTGTTCCACTGACAATAAGCTTACAAACGACATTTTTTATAAAAACCTGATGTGTTGAACACATGACGTTCCGGTTATTTTGTAGAACCTATTGTATATCACCCCTGTAAATGTTCAGAGGATAAACTAAATACATATCCTACAAACATCTTACTTGAAACAATTTTTTTATATAATAATTCATTACTAATGGAAAAATTAAAATTTTGCCATTACGGTCCAGTTGAGAAAAATCATGTATAGAAAAAAAGTTATGGAGAATGATATCGCAAACAACTTTTATTTTCTAAAATTTCTCGAATACGAAATATTTTAGGGAAAATTATGTTTGGTACAAAAATTATGGAAAATAACATTACAAGCAACTTTAAGGAATTTTCTTCTACGTGCGTAAATAACATTCTATAAAATAAAAAACTACCCTCTATAAAGTACTCCCCCAGATGTTCCGACTATGCCCAAAAGTTTGAGACATCTTCAAAATTCTAAATTTGCACTTTTTCTCAAATATTTCGAATACGGTCCATTTTAGAGAAATTATGTATAGAACAAAAATTATAAATGTTACGAGCAACTTTTATTTGAAGAATTTTCTTTTCCGAGCGTAAATAACATTCTGTAAAAAAGAAAAACGACCCCCTATTCGCTCCGTGCGTGACGACAGCGCCAACTCAAACGTGTACTAAACGGGGAGTAATAGATTTCCTAATTAAAAAATATATTTTTTGCTTTGAATAAAAATATATTGATTTTTAAAACAAGTGAAAAGACTATATATTTTTATTACTTTAGCTAAAGAAGTATATTTAATAAAAAATTATTAAAACAAGTGCGCAGAACAGGTAATTAGGCAACAGTATTTACGAGCAAGTGTATGAAAAGTTGCCTAATGCAGGTTAATGTCAAACATATTTAATTATTAAATAAATGTTTTCCAATTAGTCACTCACAAAATTGCATTCCAAATACAGACAATAATCAGAATCAAAGGCAGAAATATGTACTTAAGGAATTTTGAAGAACATTGTAATAATAATTTAAGTATATAAAACCTTTTCAGTTTTAAGATGTCTAGTATTTTCAATAGGTATTAGATACTCTTGTTACAAAAATAAAGGTTTGTAATTACTTTTCCCTTCTTACTGCCATTATAGGTACGTTTATTTCTTCGATTTAATTTCTATTTTGGTACTAAACATTTAAAATAGTTTTTTTGCTAGTATTTTTACAAGTTACAACACAGCAACTCCGGTTGCTCATGACTTCGCACTGATCGAATAAAATATCCCCCCAAATGCGGTCCATTTTAGGAAAATTATAGAGAATAAGATTACAACCAACAAGTGATCGAAATAATTATCATTAATATAATTGTACATTAGAATTTCATTTAGACTGTTTTTCTAGACCAAATATCAGCAACTATTTATCTAGAGAAATAGTCGATATTTGGTATAGTGTTCCAAGTATAACACGACCTTGATTTAATATTCTGCAATTTTTGTTGTTGCTAAATTTCTCGAACATTCTAGTTTGATTCTACATAATTTTGGCATCAATAATCAATTGATTAAAGCTCTCGAGCTCTAATCAGATTATTATTGCCAAAAATTATGTCTCATCAAATTGATATTAAAATATTCTCGAGATTTAGATTCAACAAAAATAGCTGACTATTATCAAGGTCTTGGTATATTACCCTTGATTATTGTTTTTGAGATTTAGAATTAGTTCAGGATCCGTAAGTAAGATCGACCTTCACCCATCTGTTTAATGGATAAAAGTTATTTTTTATTAAATAAAATATGTTTTTAAATATACTAATGGGTTGCCTAAGAAAATACGGTCACGGCCATTTTTTAATTTCCTCTCTGTGTACAGATAAGGAAAGTATAGGAATCATGTTAAAGTTGTTTATGATGTCATTCTCTATTATTTTGTCTATACATGATTTTCCTAAAATGGACCTAATTTTAGATATTTGATGAAAAGTGCAAATTTCGAATTTTGAAAATAACTCAATAAAAACGGATGAAGAGAAAAACACAAAATTTTGAACTTAAGCTTTAATCTATCCTGCGATGAGTTTAGGCACAGTCAAAGCATTTGGGGAATACTTTACAGGGTGTCGTTTTTTTAACTTTAAGAAAATAGTCTGGACCGACTTTTCTTAGGCAACCCATTTGCGGTATATTTAAAAACATATTTAATAAAAAGAAAGTTTCATCCATTAAACAGATGGGTGAAGGTCGACCTTATTTCGGATCTTAGACTAAATTGTGTAATTAAAATTTCGCCAACTTAGGTCATTAGCCTCGTGTTCTCTGTAGGTCATGGAGTGTGTACTAGTAGTCTAATACTCCAAATAAAATAAGTTAAGTAATGGAAAAAATAAATTAAAATAATCTAAATAAAATTTGTTAAATATTGTAACTGTAACACTTACTTGAACCACTCTAAGAAAAAGATAATCCCATGCTCAAACGATGTATTGAAAAACATAAAAGGGATAAGATAAGTATTGTTATTTTGTAAGCAAGCGATTGCTAAGATCATTGCAATACAAACATAAACTGATGTCACAGTCAGGCATAAGCCCAGAACTTATAAATAACGTGACGCGGAGACAACCCTGTCTAGCAAGCGACCTTGAAGCCTGCCACCCGACTCATGGTCGAAACACCGGAATATTCTAGGTATGCCGCTGACGTATAGAGACAAACGCATCGAGAAGCTAGCGGATAGATCCCTTTGCGGTCGTTGAGTCATAGAGATGGAATTTTCGGACATTCGAGAGCGTCTAGAAACTACGAGTACAGAGTGGGCTTTGTATAAAAAGCGCGAGTTGTCGACAGACAAGGAAATTCGAATAGAGTGTTTGACAGAAAAGATAAATTGTAATAAATAAATTAGAATTGTGAGTTATAGTGCTTAAGTATTATATAAATTAATTAGTACGTCATAAATAAATTGTAAATAGTGTGTTTTAGGGTCGATTTCACCGTTGTGTCAAACGAAGTTTAAATTACTAAACGAAGATTAAAATGACCATTGTTAATGTAAAAATGTCATTTTAAACTTCGTTTAACACAACGGTGGAATCGACCCTTAAATAAATTAAATCAACGCAACAATAAATAATATCCAATGTCATAATTGGTATTTTATCCTAAACACAGTCGAATTCGAACACAAATAGTTCTACTACATGCGACCATCAAATTTTACCGTAGGAAAATTTTAATTTTCCAACGCCATCTTATAGAGAAATTTTAAAAACGCTTATTTTAAAGTTTTCATTGTGTCTATAAAAAACGAAAATTTTTTGCTTTTTTTTCTTCCCATTTCATAAAAATCCTGTCGTGTGTACATCAATTGTCGCGTATCGTCGAGCCAGATATAATTCTTATGGTCTTTTTGGTCTATCTCCCTTTTAAGCAAAGTTTTTCCCAGAAAAGCGATCGACCCAAAATGGTTCCTAATCTTCCTGGAAAATGTGTTGGAGTATCGGTAAAATTTCAATGCAAGACGTTTTTCGGAAGATTCGTTGGAAATGTTGAAAAATTCTGGAAATACAAATATTTCTTTTTTCTCCTAACAAAACGGATAAATCCGCTGTCGAAAAAAAAGTTGGTCTAGTCGGAAAATTGGTAGAAAATCACTTTCCTGAAGAAAAATTTTAAATTTGTTGACGTTATTTGACAGATAAAACTTCTCATCTTTTCTCCTCTTTTTAGCAAAACTTGTCTCGGAAAATTTTTGCCACATTATGATGAGGAACGTCGAGTAGTATACTTAATTTTTTTTTTTTTTTTCGAAAATTGGTCAAGTCTGAAAATTCTGGAAAATAATATCCAGAAACGGATAAATCGACTATCGAAAAAAAGTTGTTTCTGCCGGAAAATGTATGGACAACTACATTACCGAAATTTTTTTTTAACATTTTTCGGTATGATTCGATGAGAAAAGTAGTCAAATTTGATGAGTTACCTACATCAAATTTCGTAAAAGATTGACAGCATGTTATAATCACCAAAGTTTTGGTGAAAAACCACTATACCGTAAGAAAATTTCAAATTTTCAGACACTATTCATTAGAGAATTTTTTAATAATGCATCTTAAATTTTTCATACATTTTTGAAAATAGCCAAAAATGTTTTTTATTTCCCCCTCCTATCTTAAAAACCCTGTTATGTGATATATCAACCAACGCGTCCCGTCTAGCCGGATAATTCTTAATTTCTTTTAGCTCTCATCATTTTTAAGCCATTTTTCCGGGAAAACCGTTCGACCCAAAATTTGCCCTAAATTTCCTGCGAAATGTTTGATATCGAGAAAATTTTGATGCCAGATTGTGTGGAATGTCGAATAGTATACGCAAATTTTAAATTTTTTTAGGTAAATTCGTCGGAAAAATCGGGACAAAAATATAATACATAAAGATTATTTATGAGACGAGGCCGAAATATAATAAACCTGGACAGTAAAAACATTAAACAATATGTACTAAAAAAAATAACTAACAAATAAATTTGTAATATTGTTTCGAAATAAGCGTCTACACGGTCGGGAATGTTTCCCATTAATTTTTTTTTGTTTATTTTATCCGAGATTTTTATCAATTTTGTTTGCTATTTTAATTATTGTTTAAATAGCCAACATTTTGACATCTAATTGTAAGCGCAAAAGGATGAAGGCCAAAAAATTAGATGTGCACAAAAAAACTTAAATGGTGGTTCTTACATGGGCCGCTGGTGGAAGGCGAAAAGGGAAGTTGTCAGAATAACGATACACGACACAAAGGTGACCCCAAAAAGGCAAGTAATACCTTGGCATAGGAGGTGTCTCTAGGAAAGCTAATGATAGGATGAACAACCTAGTATTATGCCAAAAATCGAGAACTACTCATAGGGTCCATTTACTTTATTACGCTTTATGGGGCATTACCGTGGCACGGGGAATTATTAACCGATACCGGTCGATGATTTGGGAATGTTTTCCCATCACCAAATTAACGCATTTTTGGTAGAAAAGTGCCAATACTGCCGGCCGGCCAGCCAGATCTTCACTACCCGTTGCACACCTAAAGGTAAGCCTAAACATAAGGACAAATTTATTGGTATCCCATCACGTCATTTCAGTCCACTTATCTCATACCGAAAAAGATTTACTGTGCCAAGAACCAACATCAAATGCTACAGGGCAACTATGGAATCTGCACAAAGAAAGGTGTCACTGAGAGTGGCATCAGCATACAGAACAGTATCACTTGAGGCAATCCAAAAATTGGAACCGTACCAATACATCTCCTAGTAGAAGAAACAACTTAGGTTGATTGCCGCACTGCCGGTTATAACTAAAAGGTCATTGAGGTGCGTGGTCGGCACTGCGCATGTCTCCTACACCTCGCATCCGCGAGTGGTCAGCACTCAGCCTGTTGTGCCAAGAGAAATGAAGGAAGTGGCAAAACAAAACGAGAGGAAAAGATCGATCGTCAGGTGGCAGAGAGAATGGTCGGAAAATAACAGAACGACCAGATGGACAAGAACTATAATACCGGACTACTTTACAACCAAAGCCTTCACAGATTAAGGATCATTTAAAACCTTCATTAAGAAAATAGGAAAAATAAATGATGACCTATAACGGTTTTGTGAAGAGACGGATATGCCGGAGCATACTCTAGTAGCGTTCGGTTTGGCCAGGGACTGAAACGGGACAGAAGCTGATTTTTTTACGGTGCTTTTAAATGACATTTAAGCATGTTGAACTGTAACTAATCGGACTAAACCGAACGCAATGTCTGTTTAGAAGGCCTTGACACCAGGATTCTGTCCAGTAGTTTATTAGGACACCAAATTACATACTGCGCAGAGTCCTGGTGCCAATGACTGGTTTCGAATAGTTGTTGGAACAAACCTACTCTATTGCTGAAATAATGTTGAAAACGGGAGGACGGGATGGCACCAAAGTCCTTTTTCGGTAAAGTTATGGAAAGTAAGAAAAGAGAGAATAGGATGACCAATTAAATTGACAACCGACGACCCGATTGGAAGTTTCACAACGACTTCGGGACGTCGGTAAATGTGGAATTTTAGTGGATAGTGCGTAGAGGCGAGTCCCCCAGGAGAGCTTAAATAGCATTTCTCCATAAAAAAAATCACTACCTATTGGTAAATATCTTTAGTTTACGTATATTTAAATTGATATTGAAAGAAAACCATGTTGTTATGTAGCCATTAAACTGTTTAGTTGTAAGAAGAGGTTAGAATTAATAGTACTATAAAAATAAAACATTTATTTGTCAATTAATGTTCCCCGCACTTTCTTTATATCATTCACTTTGTTTTGATCTTGCTTTCTTTTGTTCATTCCTTTTCTCTCTAATTGCTTTTCTATAATCCTGGCGTTATTAGCGTAACTATCAGCAACTTCTCTCTAAAATTTAGAATTTAAAAAATAATTAAACTAGTTTACAAAAAGGTTTTTTTATTTTACTTACAGCTTCAATTTCATCTTCTTCTTCATCAATAGTGGAGACTGTAACCGAACTAAACTTGCCCATATTCTTTGTATGTTTAGTAACCATTATTTTCTTTGGTTTTTCTATAGCCACCTGGTTATATATGTTGTTAATAGGGCCTTCATTTGTGCTCTTTATTAACGAACCTTTTACTACAAAACTAATATGACTCTGGGGTTCGTGTTTATAGTATAAAAGCAAGCCACATTTTTTACACTTCATTCTGTATTGCCTTTCAATTCCTTCGGGTCTCCTAATATATACAGTTTCATCCTGATCACAAGTAATTTTATGGGCATGATTCGTTCCATCTAAAACTCTAGCTGCATCTCTTTTTCGAAGAGGAAGTTTTTCTATTGAACAATCTAAAAATTGTAAAATTTAAATAGCAAAATACTTTTTGACTAAGTCCGATTGTGTGCTTTCATCACACACTTATACATATATGCATCAGAAATTAAGATCGCAACGCCACCTAACACACTTAACGGAACCACTTATTTGCAAATTATTACAGATGATTTGTTTACATGTGTGAAGAAACCGAAGTTAGTTTTTCGCCTTTTTTTTGTAAAATAATTGTAAAACCTAACTTTCAAGAAAACTAAACAATATTTTGAAGGGTGATGTGATTCATTATTTTCCTGTGTTAGTTATAGGGGTTGTGATGGAAAGAAAATATGTAAAAGATATAAATATGTTTAGTTTTAAAAAAACTCCAATGTAAGTCAATGATTACATGTGGTTTAGATACCAAAAGTCAGTCATTTTTAAAGTCTTTACAACCCCTATGCACTTCATGAACGGTTTTCAATATTAAAATTAATGCTGGGAAGTATATTTTTCCTGAAATGCTTATACTGCAGATTTCTATGGGCAAACACCAGCTTTAAGAGAGATATGACATAAAATTTGAATTAGTGTTAATTCTTCAGCAACCATTAGTGCCACAGTAACAGGTTTTTGTGATATTTGCTACAAGTAAATTTAATGAGGGCTGTCCAAAATAAGAGGAAGTTGTGTTTTATCTCCTTAACAAAATTATGTGCAATAGCTTTTTAAATTTTGTCAGCAGATTATGATTCCTTACTTACAATTAGACAGAAAACCCTTCATTAGTATTTTCAATTATTCGAAGATGGAATCTGCATCTATCAAGATACAATCCAAATCAATTTGTGGATTGTTTTCAATCAATTTAATTCAAAAAATAAAAGTTTTCAGTCGATATTTTAATAGTAGATCTTTCAGTTAAATATAGAAAAATAAACACGAATTCTACTTATTTTGCCTGTAGAATATAATAAAAAAATATTGTATCCATTTAAAAAATTGAAGAAACATGTTTGTTTGTCTCACCCTGTAGAATAAAGGATAATTTAGTATCATGTAATAGTTAATTACTACTTTCTTCATCATAATTTAATTAAAAAACTTTCAAATTTGAGCTCAAATAAAAATTATTTTAATATCTGCAATATTCATTTTTTTTTTTAAATAATTTTTATTTGTGAGTCTCCATGAGTACTCAGCATTTTTTCATATCAGAACAATAATACTGCTCCAAAATTTTGGTAGGTGCTAGAAAATTCCATCATAAAGTTAAAACATTACATAGTTTATATAAAAAAAGGTTTTTAGGAAATCTTTACTTGTAATGCTAAAATGTAATTACCCTGGGTTGTTCCATTTCATATCTTACTAACATAATTTACACTATATTAAACAAATATAAAACACAGCCTTGCATTTTTTTTTATTCAAAACACATTATTTGTATTTGCAAAAGTAGATCCAAAATATTTTTAAAAATATTAAAATTCCTATAACTAGACGAATAGAAATTAAGAGCTGAAATTCAGCAGTGCTTTTCACCCTTTCATTAGTGAGGGCTGGGTGTATGGGTTTTGGAAGCACTTTATTTTTAATACGATTTCAATGGTCTTCTTTTCCTTTTTAATTAAAATGCAGATAAGCAAATTGTTTCAAATTGCATTAAAAATAAATTCAAATAAAAAGGTAAACACCTCTTCTGAATTTCAGCTCTTAATTTCTATTTGATTAGTTGGATGATTTTTTAACTTATTTCAAGTAACCTCAGGGGTCACATCTAGGACCCTTTCTATTTAACTTATTTATTAATGATATAATTCATTGTTTCCTTGACAGCAAAGCTTTATTATTTGCAGACGACTTAAAATTTTTCCAAATTGTTAAAACCCTTGATGATGGCAGTAGACTTCAGTCTGACCTCGATAATTTTTCAAAATGGTGTTCTTTAAATGGCATGGACTTGAATGCCAATAAATGGGACATATGTTTTTATTGTTCCCACCTACCTCCAACTACATTTGACTATAACTTAGATGGGCATATCTTAGACTCTGTTTATCAAATTAAAGACCTTGGAATTATTCTTGATCCCACTTTAAGCTTTAATATCCCCCTGCTTGGAAACTAGGCGAAAAAAAAAAGAGACCTTACTTTGCCATTTAATATTACAAATGGTAGATGTAATTGTCCTGAACTTATTGAAAAAATAAATATTTTTGTTCAAACTCCTTTAACTAGGCAACTGCAAACATTTTATAGATCAAACCAAGCTTTTAACAGCTGCATTCCAAGAATGCTTAGATTAGCTAACTTGTTACTTATTGATGAGAACTAAAAATATATTTATTTCAAAAGTGTAGCTTGTCAGGATTTTACAATAAGGCCTTCATATAATAAACAATAAAGGGCCAATGACATTGCCTAGCTAGCATAGTTGTGGTGAAACATGAAATTAGAAAAATCATAGACGGGATAATAGGTATATGGTTGTATTCATGGTTTGTGATTGTATTTATATTCATGAACTTACCCAAAATTAAGGTCATTTGGCCACATAAACAATAATAGATATGGAGAGGTTTTTCATCGCCATATTCCTCTTGATCTTTGGTGTCAGAACAAGCAATACTTCTTGAAACCACTTTTGGCATTATAATCACCGTTAGTAATAATTAATATTAACTAATATTTAAGCTGTACAAAATATTCAAGAAAAGGTTATTTTCATTTTGTTATTCCATTCAAATGATCTGTCAGATCTGTCAAAATTGGAGAGCTTTCACAGGGTCAATAGAGAGTTTTAGCAAATGTACGTAAGATTTCCGCTAACGTTACGTTAAACTTAGATTGTGACCTTTTTCATAAAGATTGAACGGAGTAGATTACAGTCTATCCCTAAGGTAACGTTAGCGGATGGTTAGCGGCTGTTTGCTAAAACTCCCTATTGATATAATAATTTTATAGATTGCTCAAAGCGAGTGGCATTGCCTGTCTTTTTTTTATCGGTTTGTTGGAATCGCTGTTTCACCGATGCAACTTTTGCCGCGTTTGAGAATCCACATCGGATGCATATGCTGCGTTTGAGAATCCACATCGGATGCATTTTTTACATCTCGAGCGTTTTTTTATCCACATCGGACACATCTGTCCCATTACATTTACGTATACTGAATCACGTGATCAAAGATTTTTTACATCTCAGATGCATCCGATGTGGATTCTCAAACGCAGCAATTTTTTACATCTCGAGCGTTTTTTATCCACATCGAACACATCTGTCCCATTACATTTACGTATACTGAATCACGTGATCAAAGATTTTTTACATCTCAGATGCATCCGATTGCCGCGTTTGAGAATCCACAGACCGTTAAATATAAAGGAATTGTTACAGAATAGACCCCTAAAGGCCTTTAAAAATACTTCTGTCATTATTTAAACGGATTTCTTTTTAATAGTTTTCTAAGGACCGATTCCACCGTTGTGTTAAACGAAGTTTAATGTGACATTTTTACATTAACAAAATGTCATTTTAATCTCCGTTTAACACAACGGTGGAATCGGCCCTAATGTATTTTAAAAGAATCCGTTTAAATAATGACAGAAGTAATTTAGTAAGTACGAAAATATTTTTAAAGGCCTCCAATATTTTAACGGCCGTTAAAATATAAAGGGAATAAACCCCATTTGAAACTGATGGATTGGACTGTTAGTTCATCATTGATAGATTGATGAACAAAAAGACAGGTAGATTCAATGAAGTGGAAAGGGGTAGAATGATAACTGTCAATGAAAAAGTCTGGACACTATGCACAATTTCGTTTTGCACATTTTGTTAACAAAATTCAGGGACGGTTTAACAACATTTTGTGCAACAATTATAAAATAGTGCATCGAAAAATAATTAACAAGTATAATTTAATACTAAATCGGAATAAAAGCATAAAAAATCATAAATATAAGCAAGATAACAAAGAATTGACGCCAAAAAAGCTTATAACAGCCACAACAAAACAAAAAACAGAGCTGAACATGAACATAATCGCTGAATAAAGTCGATCCTGGAATTTGTTTACAGTGCTTTTTTAGGGCAACCTCTCCTTGTCATTTACGTGTGTAAGAAGGCTGAATCACGCATAATTTCTACACTCGTGATGGATGCGCAGACGGTACCTTATCGTTCTACCCTCTCTACTTCTTTGGGTAGATTGCTAGCAGCCATAGCGCCTCGCCTAGTGCGAATTAATCAGAATCGGTTTAGCAAAAATTTGTTTTAAAATCAATTTTCAGCCTTTGATTACGGTAAAAAAAAACAATTACCTAAATTTTTAATTTGAGGTATATGTTAATTTTGAAGAACATGAATAATTAATCTATTTAAAAATCAACATTGACCTCGTCAAATCCACCAGGCGATGGTTATTTTTTGGATATACCAACTTTCTCTTTATCGATTAATGCATTCAAAAATTCTTAAAAAAAAATTGTTTCAACAGCAATAGTTGCTTAATAGTCTTAACAACTTATAATTGTTATTTTTTTTCTTTTAAGCTATTGCATAGCTTTTATCGCGGGCTTTGAGCGCGGCGACCGAATCAAGAAAAAAAAAACGTAACCGTAACGAAAAAAAACCTAACACCCCCCACTCCGACCGGCACAGCGGGGCGGCGTTAAACAATATCAACTTCTCATTTATTCAATAAAAGAAAATCGAAAAATCGAAAAATCGAAAAATCCAAAAATCGATAAATTGAAAAATCGAAAATGAAAAATCCAAAAATCGAATAATCGAAAAATGGAAAAAGAAATTCCGTAACGAAAATATACCTAACACCCCCACTCCGACCGGAACAGCGGTGCGGCGTTGAAAGCCGTGCATCGTCTAACGTCGTTTCAGTTAGGCAGACTTCGGCACGGTGTTTGTGTGCGTGCGACTAGACGTATGCGTGTAGACTAGCTGCTAACTGCTCATAACTGATTCTATCTCTTTTAGACACAATTTCGGAAAAATTGAATTTGAAAATGAATAATGATCCACAAGAATCCACAACAAAATATGGGACCACCATTGACGCGGTATTTTCCAGATATTTAGAGGATATCAAAGTCTCAAACTTATGTTTCTTATTTCAGTTACCATAAACCTATATAGTTTCAATGATAAAAATTCCTGAATAACCTACATATGTATTGTAAGATAATAAAAATATTTTAAACAATACTAACTTCTCATTTATTCAATAAAAGAAAAAAATTTGTTTTCTTATCGGTCACCACGCTCAAAAAGTGTAACTTGAAATAATATCAAAGAAAAAAATACTGCATAAATAAAATAAATAATTATAATTGCATAAGTTGAAAAAAATGCTATGCAATAGCTTTACCGCGGCAGTCCCAGAGTGCTACACGTATTTTTTTAAATTTTAATTCATCCTCATTTTTTCAATTATTGTGGTCTGGTCAGGGTAGGGTGAAGATGTATTGGAATATAATTTATGTATGTATCTATTTTTTTTTTTGTTAAAGGATGCGGTGAGGAAGAATTGGTCAGTAGACCTATCACCACTACTATTGTTTACCATCGTTAACTATAATATTAATTAATATTTATCTGTGATGTATATTTATTTTATGTGGTAAACAATAAACGATTTATTATTATTATAATGACAAGACCAACTCTGTTTAAAAATACGGACTCCTGTTTATCAAGAGATGTTTGCATGAATAAGAAAAGGTCATTGGCAATCCCTTGTCAAGTCCTTATAAAAGTCTAATGAGATAAGAAGAATTATTTAGGTTATGTTTTCTGTTTCTTTTCGAAATGTTTATTATTACTTGTCAATATTGACAAATTAAAAACTTACTTGAATAATTATGAAGAAACTATTTTATTAAACTTGATATCACAACACGTCGTCACGTTCAACAATGTCGTTGAACACTATAGCGGAAGATTACTTTAAAAATTTAAACTCTATTTCTACCAGACTATATCATGACCTGGAGGAAGTTAAATCGACATATGAAGATTTATGGGAAAATATTCCCCAAAAAGAACAACAAATAATTTTGTCAGACAGCGTGATAAAGCCTGAATTAATTATAAAATATAATCCAACCGAAAAAAAGATAGAAGAAGATTTTGCTGTAAAAGTAATTTTTGAAGAAAATTGCTCCTATCGAGATGAACACTCAGGTCCGTTTAGTTTTAAAACTCAAAGCCAAAGAGATCTTAGTATTTTATGTAATAAAAAATCGGAATATTTTACTGAAAATAAAATAAAATTGCCAGTAATTAAACCGAAGGTACCACCTCCACCACCAAAGGTATGTTCTTTAATGTATTAATAAATTCTGTTTTTGATTGTTGATTTTAATTTTAGCCTACATTGTTTTACAAAGAGCCCGAAGAAGAAAGTATTTTAGATACTTTGGATAGTGACAGTACAAATTCTCTTCTACCCAAAACGGGTTTAGATTTTTTAGACAATTGGTAAAATATTAAAGAACTTTGTCTGGTTTGATTATAGCTTTTTAATGTATTGATTTGCTAATCAAATATCCTAGTGTCTAAGTATCATTTTGCACTCAATTTTTTATTTTGTTTAAATTTACAAAAACAATAATAAACCAAGAGGACATTTATTTAAATGACATGTTAGTTTATCATGTAATAAGTAATTATTTATTTGTCATCTACACTTTTATTGTACATTATTCAAAATATAGACTTATTTTACAGAAGTGCATTTTCAGATATTATTGAATTTTGATATAAAAAAATACTGAAAAAAATATTAATTAATGTATACAATCTTCATATTTAGATAGGGTTGTCCAAAGAATGCTGTAAACTCAGTTTCACTAACAGGAGTTTAATTTTTGACTGGTTATAGGTACTCAATGTACAAATGTTATTTTTAAAACTTTGTTTAACAATAACGGCCGTTTAAAATGATGTACATCAATTCCAAAAAATTTCCGTAATTCCAACGAAAATTCTAACAATTCCAATAATAATTCCAACACTTTTATTTGTTGCTTTATAGGAGCTTTAATTGTAAGAATTGTACTCAAAGTCAAAAATTATGCAAATTAGTTGACAAAAACAATAATTGTAAGTGTCATATGTAGCAAAAGTTAAGTTTTGGGGAAAAAGCAAAAAATTGATTTGAGCTCGAAGTTTTTACTTATATTTACTTTATATTATGTCTCTTTTATTGATTAATGATTAAACTCTTTTATAGTTTTAGTATATAAAAAGTGCATAGGTTATTATGTAACACCTTTATCCACTATAGAGATAACTACAACGTAGGGTGCGAATGTTTCTTTCCTGTCTGTATACACACAAGAAAAGTAAAGAAATCATGATTTTGAGGAAAAGTGTAAAATTTTAATTTTTCAGTATTTTTGTTGATAAAAAAACTGTTTCAAGTAAAATATGCATGGAAAATGTATACATTTAGTTCATCCTCTAATAATGTGCAGGGATGATGCAATAGGTTGTAAAATATAACTGGAAAAAGCCTGTAATAACTATACAGGAAAGTCAGGTGTTGGACACATCAGATTTGTTAATTACGAATACGAACTTGTAGGTATATCACTATTGTATACAAATATCTTGTGCAAATGAATAAATAAGGACACAGTTTTACGGGAGAGGGAGTGAATAGGGGTGCAGGGGAGGGTAAAACAACGTTAATATATTATAAAATATTGTTAGGACAAGGAAAATTATTAGAAATGAATTTCTATACTTTTGATAATAAATAGGTAATTGAATAGTAAACTTTTTGTGGGACTTGGCAACAGTGTATGACGTAAAAGTATCATCTCTGAGCTTTGATTTTAGATAATTTTTAAAATATTTTTATTTAGATAAATTAATTGTGATATTATTTATTTGCAGGAGATATGAAACTAATATTTGTTTATAATATTGATACAAGTAGGTATATTTCTGTATCTGTAACGTGTGGAGGGTGGGTTAACACACAGCACTTTGGCCTCACTAGGCCCATTGTGCATCCTTCTAAGTAAATAGGCACCTCCTAGCTCGTAAGCCAGCCTACAGATTTAATGTACCTAGTTGACAACGTCACCAAGAGATGCTTCTCTAATATCGGCCGGTGTTAGCCAATTCTTGCTGAACACAAATTTTCGTAGAGGATATTTTCGACAGTCTGATCTTCTTTTTTGCACCCCTTGAAGAATGCGTATTCTGACAGCCCCATGACATGAAGATGCTTTCGTACTTGGCAATGATCAGTCAGAATACGTGTGATCAGGCGCAGATTCCGTCTAGTCATAGTCAAGTATTTGTTTGCTCTTGTGTTTGTCAGGATAACTTAAAAGCTCCCTGGCAAGCTTCGAGCATATATTACTAGAGCCATCGACCAAATGGACTTTGTTTTGGTACAGGGGGGAAAAAGTGTCCGGCATTCCCATTGGTCTGTTTCGTTCTGCTTGACATGTCAAATCGTTCGAAATTGTCAGAACTGTCATTTGATTTTCATTAATTTCTAGCTTATTTTTGTAGTTCATAAGTGATTTTTTGTATTTTATTACTTTAGTGAATCAAATTTTAACAATGGTGAGAGTTTGTGTAAGTTTTAAATAGAAATACGAAAAGGCATCGTCAAGGTCATTTCACAAGTAAGTAACTATTAGCGTCTCTACCATTTTTTTAAAAGAAACATAAGTACCTACGTTTTATGCAGAAGGCCGTTAAACATGAATTTAAAATAAATGGTAAATTTAGTGAATTAAATTTAAAGAACTTGTATTATGTATGAGGAATTTGCTTTAGATTTTGGACTACTAAAAAGTTAAAAAAAAACTAATAATAATTTTTCCATATAAACAAGCTTTTCATTTTTCAGTCATTTTATCATGATAATGTTAAAGATGTTAAATCAATAATTTTTGTTTTTTGTAGGTTTCCAACTAATCCTGCCGACAAACTCATTTAGTGAAACATATTGAAACTTACTCCAAAAACATTTCAAATAGTGATTTTTTTTTGTTCCAATCATTTTTCTGGACATATGTTTATGTCAAAGACTGGATGCGAAGGAGGAACTAGATTAATTCCAGGTGTATTGCCATCAGGATTTACTGAGGCCCCAGAAGAAGATGAATCTAAAAGATAAAGAACCCTCTACTTTTCTTGTGGGTTAATCGGGCAAAATTTTTAATTTTTCAGTGATAATCTGAACCATGAAGCCTCTGTTGCAGAAAAAGAAAATGTAGAATGAAAAAACATGTAAGTAACTAAGTACTTTTTAATACAACATAAATTTTATTTTCAAATACTTACCTATTACTACCTATATTTTTTATAAACCACAAAAATTGTCAATAATTATTTTTTATTAAATATACCTGTCCTTTAATTAAGTAGACAAAAAAAATTTTGACCAAAAAAAATTTTGACCAAAAAAAATTTCGACCAAAAAATATTTTGACCAAAAAAAAATTGACCAAAAAAAAATTGACCAAAAAAAATTTCGAACAAAAAAAATTTTGACCAAAAAAGAATTTGATCATAAAAAAATTTTAACCAAAAAAAATTTTGACCAAAAAAATTTGGACCAAAAAAATTTGGACCAAAAAAATTTGAACCAAAAAAAATTTGAACCAAAAAAAATTTTGACCAAAAAAATTTTGACCAAAAAAATTGGACCAAAACAATTTGGACCAAAAAAATTAACTCATTCTGTATAGTAGGACTTAGATATGTAACACTTCGTTTTGGCATATTGATCACTTCCATCATTATTGGGACATATTTAGCAAGAAGATTTATTTGGGCCAAAAATTATCCATTATAAGTTTTCTCTGTGTCCCCTAAAATAATTTTTTGTCAAAGCGGTAAAGCACTTTCTGCCAGAAACCACTTTGATTTCGAATGTTTACTTCTAAGGAATTATCTATGTAATGATTGGCCTTTCATTGATCATAAACATAACAACAAGTGATATGAAACTGCGCTTTTTCGTGAATTTTAATTTTTTTTGAAAGACATTGCCAATCTGAAGTTCAATACTTCCATAAAGTGTTTTGGGTACAAAATAGCCAGCAAGGGGCGCAATAGGATTTATTTTCTTTTGGCGAATAACACTACCAACTCCTAGAAGATATTTGCCATGCGTAGCTTTCATTAAAATAATAAAAATCAGAAAAACTTCTGTTTTCGTTGTTTTTAGAAAAAATTACTTTAGGTTGACAAGGCCCTTGGTTGATAATAAACATTTTCAACTCATCAGTCAAATCAATATTTAAAAAATTACCCTTACAGCTGGGAAATGGTTCATTTATTAACGAACTGAGAAGACCATCCAGACTTTTATTCGATACTTCTTGTTGGTACTCATTATTTTCATTAATAGGTAATAACCACGTAGATGTATTTGGAAATGAAGTGGTACTAAAATTTTCCACCTCTGGGCCTTTTGCATTTGTTTAGTAATCTATTGAACATTGTTTATGAACAATATTTTTATATTTAATAAATTATTGGAAAAAATTCTTTTATTGTAATTCTCGTATGTTAATAGATATCATAAATATTTGTATAACATACTACTATTTATTTATATATTTTTGATTTTTAAATATAAGCTCTTTATCTTTTTTATTGTCTATTATTTCAACCTTCATTTTCCCGTTATACACTTTCTGATGTTTGAATTAAAAAAATCTAGCTGATGTGTCCAACACAAATAATAATAGTAATAATAATAATTTACTATTACTAGATACCTACTTAAATAATGCAAGTTTATAAAATATGTGCATAATTTAAAGAATTTTAAAGGTATGTATCAAATTTATTATTTATATTAATTGCAAACCCCGTAAAAATGATACGACACTGAAAATAGTGTTTACCCATTTCCCCTCTTAACCCAAATAAACGTTGTTGAATGCGGACTCTATGAAATATATATGCTCGAAGATTGTTGATGGATACTTCGGTCACAAACCTTTTTGATTTTGAAAAAAGTCTGAATAAATATATGGGGGGTTGAAATATTAAAAAAAAAAAACAAAAATAATCAAAAATGAAAAGCGATATCAACTTTAAATTGTTAGTAAAAATCAAGCTCTACAAGGGAATGAAGCCAATTGATTAAAAAAAAAAAATCTGAATAAAAATGGAGGGATAAGGGGGGTTGAAAATAGGGGTTGAGGGGGTCTCTCAAGTAACATTTTTAGAAGAAACAAGTTTTATTAGGATTTTGTAAAGGAATAAAAATTAATAATTATTTTATTACAGTTATTTTTTTTTGCTAATATGACTGCAAGATAAATAATTGATCTTAATATTAGTTTTCTGACCATATCCTTAGTAAGTTTAAATTCTTTAAAAAAATGCTATATATTTTATCTGGTATATAATGTAAGGGGGCCTATTTTTGTTTTTACACCGGGGCCCTTAGCCACCTAGACTACGCTACTGCACACAAGTTATATTTCTTTAGATTATTTTATGAGTAATTGGCACAATAATTATAAAATAACAAAAATACTTGATTTTTGTTTTACATTTTAGTAAAGTCTGCATAGCATACGTATTATAGGTAATTATTATAGGCATAGGTAATTATTAATTTATTAGCAATTAAACGATAAACGAAAACTTCAGTAAAATTAATAAATTCGAATACAAATAAAAATTTTC